TCATGATGCTGAGATTGTGACCTGAGCTGAAATCAAGAGTCAGATGCTTAACTGACTGAGCCACCCAGGCACCCCTTGTTTTGTTTTTGTAATTGTGGTAAAATATATCTAACATAAAATTTACCACTTTGACCATTTTCAAGTGTAGAACTCAGTGGCATTAAGTTCATTCACATTATTGTGCATCTATCGCCATTACCAATTTCTGAAACTCTTATATTGTCCCTAACTGAAACTATACCCATTAAAAAGTAACTCCTCTTTCGCCTGTTCCCTGGTAAATGTTATTCTTTCTATTTCTGTTCCAGCTCATATAAGTGGAATCTTACAGTATTTGTCCTTTTGTGTCTGACTTATTTCATTTAGCATAATATTTTTAAGGTTCATCCATGTTGTAGCATGTATCAGAATTTCATTCCTTTTAATGACTGAAATAATAATTCCATTTATGTATATATCACATTTTAATCCATTCATCTGTTGATAGACATTTGAATTGTTTTCCACCTTCTGGCTGTTGTGAATAATGCAATGAACATGGGTGTACAAATACCTATTAGAGGTTCTGCTTTCACTTCTTTTGGATGTATATCCAGAAGTGGAATTGCTAGATTATACATTAATTAAATTTTTGAGGGACTGCCATACTGTTTTCTGTCTTTCTTTGTTTTTTTTTATTTGAGAGAGAGAATGAGAGAGAGCGCATGAGAAGGGGAAGGGTTAGCGGGAGAAGCTGGCTCCCTGCTGAGCAGGGAGCCCAATCGGGTAGGATTGAGTCCAGTCCCACGACTCCAGGATCACGACTTGAGCCTAAGGCAGTAGCTCAACCAACTGAGCCACCCAGGCGCCCTGCCAGACTGTTTTCTCTAGCAGCTGTATCATTTTACATTGAACCAGCAAAGCATACAGGTTCCAGTTTCTTCACATCCTCACCAATGCCTGTTTTTTTCAGTTTCTTTGATAATAGGCATCCTCATGAGTATAAAATATCTCGTGGTTTTTATTTGCATTAATTCAATGATTAGTGATACTGTGATTTTTATGTGCTTATTGGCCATTTATTTATATATATATATATATATATATATATATATATATTTTTTTTTTTTTTTTGAGAAATGCCTGTTCATGTCCTTTGCTCATTTAAAAACTGGGGTGTTTTGGGGTGCCTGGGTGGTTAAGCCTCTGCCTTCGGCTCAGGTCATGATCTCAGGGTCCTGGGATTGAGCCCTGCATTGGGCTCTCTGGTCAGCAGGGAGCCTGCTTCCCCCCTTCTCTCTCTGCCTGCCTCTCTGCCTACTTGTGATCTCTGTCAAATAAATAAATAAAATCTTAAAAAAAAAAACAAAGCTGGGGTGTTTTATTTCTTTGTTGCTTAATTGTAGTAGTTTCCAGCCAGGTTTTCAATGAAGGAATTTGAAGTTTTATTTTCCTGAAGCATAGTATTTATGTGACTGATTGATGGCAGGTGGATTTTAAAGGTTACTTAAGTGGGTAGTCAGTCCCAGCATGACTCCCAGGTATTTCATAGTGGAGTACTTGTAGGAAAAGTACTAATAGAGGCACTTGTAGGCAGAAAGCTGAGATTTTCCTTAATTTAAGAGGTTACTACTTGAACAGATGATGCTTAGGTACCCAAAGTTCTTACAGAGCATGGTTTTGGCCTGGAAGATTCCTCAAGCAGGAATCATATACAAAGGCCATAGAAAGATCTGAAGAGTGTACTATTCTGCTCAGTTCCAGACTTAGTGGTGGTGATTATACAACTTTATGAATATATTAAAAACCACTGACTTGTACACTGTAAAAATGAATTTTATGCTATGGGAATTATATCTCAATAAAAGAATACCCACTGAATATTTGATTTTAGAAGTAATGTAGTTCTGTTGAGCTGCTAGAGTTATGAAATGTATCTGAGTAGCCACATTAATGATTTTAATTTGTTTATTCAGCAAACATTAAGAGCTCATGTGCTTGGCTCTGTGTATATAGCAATGAACAAAACTAAGTCACTACTTTGGAGGAGTTTGTGTTGTAATAGTGGCAGATGGCAATGTAATGCAATATCAGGTAATGATAGACACTACTGAGAAAAAGAAAGCAAAAACGGGTAGTGACAAGAGTGTGCAGTGTTAGATAGGATAGCCAGGGAAAGGTTCTCTGAGGGAATGAATTTAAGCAGAGAAAGGATTGAGTGTGCAACTGAAGAGAGTATCAAAGGAAGAGCCTCTCAGTTTAAGGGAGCTGTAAGTACATAGGCCTTGGGGCAGGAACTTGCTTGGTGTATTCAAGGCATGGCAAGAAGGCCAAAGCACAGGTGCCTGGGTGGCTCAGTTGGTTAAGTGTCTGCCTTCGGCTCAGGTTAAGGCAGTGATCCCAGGGCCCTGGGATTGAGCCCTGCGCCAGAGCAGGGAGTCTGCTTCTCCCTCTCCTCCCCACTTGTGCTGTCTGTCGCTTTCTCTCTCTTAAATAAATAAATAAAATTAAAAAAAAAAAAAGAGGCTGAAGCAAAATGACGTAGGGGAAAAATGATAAAAAGTTTGGAAAGGTAGACATAGAGAGCCTTTTGAGTGATTGTGGTTTTTAAAAGTAACAAAGTTTATTACTTATATATGGAAGGAAACCTAAACATTTTGTTGTAAAATTAGTTTCCTGAAATAACTATAAAGGTAACTCTGAATTGTTTAACTTTCTCTTAACTTATTTTGTTCTATTAGCACGTAATTTAAAAAAAATTACTGTTCAGTTCTTTGGTTTGGGTCTTGACTATATAAGAGTATTTGATATTTTAGCTCTAGATTTTGTGCTCTGAATTTTGTAACGTTTTGCAACTGAATTTTTGGAAAGCTTTAAAATCATAACTTATTCATAAATTGGAGACTGTCTTCTTTAATATACTGTTTTAATGTCTAATAGAAATGTTACATAACAGATTTTAAAAATTATGTTGAAACAAGCTTTATTATATATTTTACATCCATCAGTGTTAACTTTACAGAATGTTTATATAAAACCCAAAGGTATTGCAGTAGTAAAAGCTAATCTATCAATTATAGATAATTATTGGTATAGCAAGGTCTCAGTTAATAAGTTATTTCACCAGTATTACCTAATAATTTTTTAGGTAGTGCTATACTATTTTCCTCCTGTGTTATGCTAATATATTTTCTTTTGATTTAAAGCTTGCAAACACAGAAGAATACATAGATGGAGCATTGTCTGGACATTTGGGTGAAGTTTTAATAAGGTAACAAAACAGCAGTAGTATATATGAGTGACTAGAGAACATTAGAAATACCTGTTTAAATAGACTAGTGCCTCAATTTCAGAATTACTTTGTTTAAATCACTATTAATTTAACATATTCTACAATTAAGACTTAATTTTGAAATCCTTAAATTTGTCCAAGAAAATGGAAATTTTTTGGAGTTACTCATCTGTAAGGTTTTTCTAGTGATTAAACTTTCTAGCTCTTAGCTGTAACCTTTTTTAGTGGTTTTAGTTGCAAGAGCTTGGTTTTGAATTTTACTTGGATCTGCCTGGAGTTAGAGATTTTTATTTTATTCATTTTCTTGAACTAGAGTCACATTTTCAAATTTGAGTCATTCCTTTTGGAAGATCATAAAGATGCTATTTTGTAACATCCACTGGGTGAATAAGTGCCAAGTGCTTTTTAACAAATCAATGGTAAAAACATTTTTAAAAAAGAAAGAAATGATACACTGTAAATTTAGCATTCAGTATTTTTGTAACCAAAAATATCTAGCAATAGTAATTCAGATCTTAATGTGGTTTCCAGTTGGAAGAACAAAATGGATTGTTTTTCTGTTTACAGGTGTAATAATGTCCTTTATATCAGGGGTGTTGAAGAAGAAGAAGAAGATGGGGAAATGAGAGAATAGCATCTTTTGTGGGGAACTTTTTTTATATATATTTCTAGACAATAAACTTTTTTTTTTCAACTTGACTCATGAACTATTCATATTCAGATATTTAAATGTAGAGCTCAAATGTTGAAACAATTGAAAGATTATTCAGAATTAATACTTTAAGAGCCACTCAGCTTCATTCAAATTGGTTTTCTTTTGTAAGCTCAGTACTCTCTCTTTTTTTCTACAGGGAAAATTTTTTTGCTTCATAAACATTTATGAAGGTGAATTTCAGTCCTTTTCTTGTAATTATATATTAACCGAGACCTTTTAAAAACAACTCTTTTAAAGTTATTTTTGAACAACTTTTGACATGTATAAAGTTAAATATTTTCTTAGAATTAATATATACTGTTTTATTTTACATAGTCAACAAATTACATGTTAATTCTGTCAGTATAATCTAAGTAATGTACATGTTATAGCTAAAATTGAAACATCATCTGAAAATTAAAATGATTGTGGATATAGCGCACAGTAGAAACTGTGAATTGATAATTTAGGCTAAAAGCATATGGTTTGTTCACTTGCAAGAATTAAGTGTTCTCAACAGAACTCCTTAATGTGAATTAAAAACCAGTCTCACAGTTAAATTCTGAGAATATACTAGTGGTTTTCATTTATGTTTTAGACTCCTCAAAACCATTTAGAATTATACATTGTTAAAATGTATTCTCCACAGTGATAAAATGTATACTATGAACTGTGGACTGGTTAAAAACAATTTAGACCATTTAAAGTCCCCAGTTGTCCGAGAATGCCATTGTTGCACTTTAGCGAGTCATTCACCACATAGTTACACCTGTAAGGTAAACTTTGGATGTGTATCCAACCGGGACAACTCAAGGATAAAAATGTTCAGCTGTATGGAATTTTACTTAGTATATGATAATAAAAGCCTTCAACAAAGGAAAATAACTCCCATTCCCAATCCTATAACCACTAGAATAAGTGTGGTCCTCAAATTGGTTAGGCCAGCATATGGGGCAGAATATTGCCATTAATGGAAACCAGAATCTACAAAATATGCCTAAAATATTCTGGTAATAAATGTCTTACTGCTTCTATTCAAGTGAAAAAATATTCATCCTCTAGTGATTTTGTTCTTGTATCCTTGACTAAAAGTAGTTCATGTTTGTTAGCAGATGGAGGTTTTGAGCGATAGACAAGTCGTCTTCCCAGCTGAAACAAAAGAAAAATACTTAATATTTTTTAGCATAACTATTTTCTGTTGAACCATCAGTAAAATAATAACATTAACATGATTTTTCCAAGGAATAACATGACTCAAAATAGTAAATAATCACAGTTACATAGGGATTGATGACCTAATGGGTGTCCAGCATGCTAGGTAGGGTTAAGTAACAAATAAAGCACCACAGCATGCAGGAGACAGAGCAGTTAGGTTATATGGGAAAGTCAGGAGATTTAGTTAGTATCAAAAAGCCTATGTTTCAGATGTGGTCGGCCTAGAAAAGCACCACCTTTGAGGCCAACATTTCATTTCTCAGTGCCATAGCAAAATTTCTCCTCCATTGGTTAGGATAGATCATTTTCCTCTGCTGAACACCAGTTGACTGGCATTTAAAAATTCTGTTAGACAAAAATTTGAGAAAACCATGTATATCTTCAACACTAGTAATCCTGTTGGCCCTTAGATGTGTTCTCACCAGGAGAGGCTTAGGGAAAGCCCTTGATTTGTACCTATTCATTCTCTGGGGTATATGCTCAAGTTTATTATACTAATTATTTTTCTTTTTTAGTCTCCCCCCCCCCTCCTTTAAGTATTTATTTGGTTTTGCTTCTATATCTGAATTTGTGTAAAAGAAATGGATGAGAAAGTTACTCTGTTGAAAATGAGATTTTTTTTTTTTTTTTAAAGATTTTATTTATTTGAGAGACAGAGAGAATGCACACAAACAGCGGGGAGGGCAGAGGGAGAGGCAGGCTCCCTACTGAGCAGGGAGCCCAGTGCGGGACTCCGTCCCGGGACCCTCAGATCATGACCAGAGCTGAAGGCAGACGCTTAATGACTGAGCCACCCAGGCGTCCCTGAAAATCAGATTTGATGGAATATCTCCACTGTGTCTCAAAAGGGGCACTATCACTATGTGAGACTGTCCCGTGCATTGCAGAATTTGACATTCCTGGCCTTTGAGAACTAACAGTGGCAGTCCTCCCCATCATTTTATTAACAGAAATGTTCTTTGGGACTGGAATCCCCGAATTCCTTTCTTGTCAGATGTCAGATTTTGTTTTTTTGTCTCAATGATCTTTTGGTAGTCTTTGTTATTAATACTGTCTGAGAGAGTTGCCAATGATAAAGTGCCCTCACTGATAAGAACTTTTGTTAGAAGTCTTTGTACATTGTCAGCTGATCAAATGGGTATCATTTTTTTTCATTTTTCTTCCCATTTTAGTTTTCACTCTCATTTTTAGTCTGCTAATTCAATAAGCATTTATTGAATCTCCTCTGTGTAGCAGGCGCTGGGGACACAAAGGTCATAAGAACTCACTCATGGTCTAGAAGGAAAGCTGGTTGTATTAAAAATACATTTCAATTTGGTGAACGTAGTGAATAGTAGTATGTTTACATGGAAGGGTGATGAATGGTTAATTTGCCTTTGGGAGAAAGAGGACAAGTCAGGTCTTCATAGGAAAAGCTGAACTAGAGAAGCCAGACCCTTTTTAAGTTGACATGCTTATTTAAATGAAATTAAGATAATCAACACCTTTTGACATGTATATTAACAGTTACTGTATTTCAGAAACTTCTTCAAGTACTTACCTCAAAAGTTGGTTATGAGGCACACAATAAGCATTCACCATAGTTTAGCTATTACTGTGGTAAGAATCAATGTCCATAGTAGCTTTGTAGATAACCATAAAATTAGCTTCCCCACATATATTTCAGACCCTAACCCAGAGGACAGTGGCATACAGAAACACAAGGCCCTCCATACCCAGTGGGAAGTCATGGACCCCATGTACTCAGTGACTGCCTAATCCCATGCTTCTTATTGGTTAGGTAATCTTGCAATATGAAGAACTTTGACTTCTGATGCTGAACCTGCTGCTAAATCTAAAGCGACTCTGGGTAAATCATTTTAACATCAACTATTAATCTCATTATTTTTCACAAAGTGAGGATTAGAAGACCCTCCCAATTATATGCACTTCTCTGGATTTGCTATCTCCATTGTTGATTGAAAGTAGCAGGGCTCGGGGCGCCTGGGTGGCTCAGTGGGTTAAAGCCTCTGCCTTCGGCTCAGGTCATGATCCCAGGGTCCTGGGATCGAGCCCCGCATTGGGCTGTCTGTTCAGTGGGAAGCCTACTTCCTCCTCTCTCTGCCTGCCTCTCTGCCTACTTGTGATCTCTGTCAAATAGATAAATAAAATCTTTAAAAAAAAAAAAAAAAAGAAAGTAGCAGGGCTCATGGCTATTATATGTAAGAAGGAGAAGATATACATAAATAAATAGAATATTTCCAGAAGGATGCAGATGAAACTTTAAGATCTTGCATCCAGGGAGGGGAACTAAGGATGATTTACTTCCACTAAATATTATTGTATCTTTTGAACTTTGAGCCGTATGCTTGTTATTACCTATTCAAATAATTAAAGAAAAAATTATCTGGCTTCATGAACCAGGAGCTAAAGAACAAGAGGAGAGGGGAAGAAAGGTTTCTTTTACTAAAAAGAGTGGGTCTAATGGAGAACCGTAGACCCAGAAATTTGAATTATCCTCAGAGTAACAAGGAATCAGGGAGAGACCAATCAAAGCTGGATAAATTACATGAATTAGGTATTTTGTTTTTACACCACAGGAGCACTCACATATTGATGTAGCTGGACCTATTGGTAATAAAACACAAACCTTTTTCTTCGGTTGTGCTACTGCTCTTTCCAGAGCAGCTCTTAGCCTTTCCTCCTGGTGTTTTTGTTTTTCTTTCATTTTCTCTTCACGTAACCTGTCAAAAAAGGAAAACATTCTTGTAACTATAAATCACAGAAAGTAAAAGAAGACCTGTATTATTTTTGGGTAATAGACTTCCTAAATATTATAAAATCTCCCTAAAAGCTCACATAATAATTCACCTTCACCCATACTATGACATTTGAATATTCCGGTGAAATCTCAGCAACAGATCCCATTTGTGTTAAAATGGGAGAAAACTGCTTGTCACCATTTTGAAGAATCAAAATCTACCTAGATCTTGGTCTAGAACAAGCACCTCAGCAAAGCCTTTTTGTCACCCCACTTACATTTTAGCACTTTACAGTTAATGTATACAAGGCCTCTTGAATTAACACCCAGACCCCCCCCATTAGCCTTTTTACTAAAGTATAGTGTACAGAAAAGTGCACAAACCACAGTGTATACAGTTCAATGAGTTACCACAAAAGTGTACTTTTCCAGTTAATCTTTCTCAATGGTATCCTGAAATTAAGACCAAGAAATGCTTTTTTTCTTGTTCTCTTCAGGGTTGTTAGGATAAAATTAAATGAAATGACCCATGTTAACTGTCCAGGCGAATGCCTGGTACAGAATAGACCCTCAATAAGTGATAACTATTTTATGGATTTACACAGTTACAAGCATGACATTTACTGAACATTTTTTATGCAAAATTAGGTGTTATGTACCTGGGAAAAACAAAATTCTCTTTTTGATAAGAAGCATAAACAATTGGAACTAGGTTCATACATCACAACTGAAAATAAGTTGTAATTACGATTCAGTGAGAATATATTTCTGACTGCAGAAAAGATGCAAGTGCTGTTAATGTAATTGGTCATAGGTCATCTTACGGGAGGAATTTTTTGTAATTTAAAAAAATTTTGCTTTATATTTAATAAAATCCCATCAGGATCACCTTAATATATTCTGGACTTTGTTCTGATATGGGGAAAACAATATCCCCCCCATATACCAACCAGTAAGCAATAACAAAATATCTAACATTAATGCTTAATATTTGAATACTTACTATGTGCCAAGCACAAACCCTTTGAGATAAGTGCCATTATTACTGCCATTTTACAGATAAACTGAGACTTATGAAAGGTTATTTACCCTGCCTAAGATCACAGAAGTTGTAAATGGCGGAACCTGCATTGAAGCCAAGCAGGTCAGCCATAGTGCTAGTCTGCCTCTTAACTTTGTTATTGTTGTTATGACAGGAACAATAGTCCACCTATAAGCATTCTTTACCTGCTACATTATACTAGGGATCATATATATAGGGATCATCATTATAATCATAATCATTGCCTCAAAGGTAGTTATCCTTATTTAACTTGATATAGAAGTTTGTAAATCAGTACAGTCTCCTGGAAAGGCAGGTAGGCAAGGATGTGGGTATGTCGGGGTGAGGAGAGGGTGCTGTTCCAGGGTTGATAATTCTCATGAAGTTGTCTCGAGGAATGAATCAGTAAATGTGGAGATGCTGTGTGTAAGCGTTGCTAGTTATGCACTGAGAAAAACCCTCATTGCATGGCTCTTGACTTTCAAACAATTCTTTTATATAAAGTCTTGCAGTGAAGGGCTCTTAATTCCACGCTTTGGGCCCTCCACTACAATTGCAAGAGATACCTCTTCAAAAAATAGTAAGTAGTGAATACTCATTCTGAAAATCCATCTTTTTCCAGCTAAAATGACCCTTTATCCATCTCAAACTAGATCAGTTGCCCCAGTGAACTCTTATTCACAATGCTCATTATTGGTAATGACACATTATTTCTTAAGAATATTTGATGAGTGTGTCTTCCGCATTAAGTAATCACTCTGAGAAGGGCACGTCTGGGTTTGGGTCTACTGCATCTTTATCATGATCCTTGCCATGTAATAGGGGCTTGCTCAGTGTTGTGGAATCCCAGCAAAGATCGTTTCTCATCTCATTAAGTCGCTCACTACACTTCTATCATAAGACATTGACTGTACTTTTGCCGCCGTTCTTTCTGTTTTATCCTCTCAATTGCCTCCACATTTTCTTTGGGTATGGATTCAATGAGATCACTCAGTTCTACCAGGCGAGACTCTACTTTTACCAGCTTTTGAACCGGGTTGAGGCTGCCAACATCAGCATCTCCAATGCAGACTCTGTATACTTGATTAATTTTTTTACTAAGAGAGTCTATCAGTTTTTCCTGAGATTGAAAAGAAAAAGGGAACAGAAAACATAACATCTCATCACCATTTTCTTATTCATTCAATAAATGTAAAATTCCATTTTACTATCTTAAAATGAAAAGGCTCTTATATGCTACTACATACTTCCTTTTTAAAAGAAAAACTTTAATGGGGTTGCCTGGGTGGCTCAGTCAGTTAAGGGCCTGACTTCGGCTCAGGTCATGATCTCAGAGTCCTGAGATTGAGCCCACGTGCTGCAGGGCAGGCTCCCTGCTCAACAGGGAGTCTGCTTGTCTCTCTCCTCCCTCTGCCCCTTCCCCCACTCATGCTCTCTCTCTCTCTCTCTCAAATAAATCATCTTTAAAATAAAAGAAAAACTTCAGTATAACATAGAACAGTGAGAAAATGCAGCAGCAATATAATTTATAGTCAGAATTATAGTGTAGTAACATCTTGGACTATTTTCTGTTAAAGATATTGCAGTCTAGGTATAAAAAGCAATTTTAGTATGACCGTATCTTTTTGCTTGAGTGTTTTTGTGTATCTGATTCCATGAGCATTCAGGTAGAGCCAACGGATATATACATTTTAAATCCTTTTTGTTTTTTGCCAAGCTAGTGCACTTCCTTGCAACACAGGGTGGGAGCTTTGGTGGTGGTTTGTTTTGTTTTCTTTTGCACTTACTATTCATTGCTGAAACTACAGTCATCCTATGTGAAAGCTATTTGCATACTTGCCTTATTTCCCCTTCTAGACTGTAAGCAACTGGAGGGTAGGAGTTATTTCTTATGTTGACATTTATACCTAAAGCAGCACCTTGCTCATAACTATGCACTTAATAAATGTTTGCTGAATAAATGACTGAATGCATACTCAGAGGGAAAAAAAAGTTACAAGCAAACAGATTGCCAGGCTGACCTACAAAGTCTTTCAAGGAGTTTAATTTTCTCTCTTGCCATTGGAAAGCCGTTGCAGTATTCTGGTCTAAGCATACGCTTAGGCCAAACCTTGCTGATCCCTGTACCTGGCCACTGCGCCGTCTTAACTGTTGGTAGATACGCTCGAGCTGGTAGGTAACGTGTTTCGGGACCAAAAAACTTTCAGCCTCTTTCTCCACCGTGAATTTGGCATTCGCAGTTAAGAGGATCTCAATAAACTGCTGGGCAAAGTAAATCGTTCTCCAGGTAGCATCCTGCCCCAATTCCTGATTCTGCTCAAGAAGATGAGAATCATCATGAAGCCAACGATAAATAACACTCAAGACAGATGTGGCTCCAGGAGCCATGGGAAACCCCTCCTGGAATCACAGTCTCCTTACAGAGCCACCAACACTTAATTACAAGTCAAGACCTGTTACTAATAGTTTACTTCCAACAGCTTGTCTTTCCCACCTCCTGGTTTAACCACCTTTCTGATGGTACTGTTTACCACTAAGCACCCCTTTTCTTCTCTGACACTTATGTGTTTCCTGTTTATATTTAAAACATGCTCCTTTTTATACCTGAAACTGGTAAAACTTTGTTTATTGGAATTAAAATTCAAAACTTTAAAAAATGGTCCTTTTAGAAAACTTGGAGAACCACAAAGTAATATTATTAAAAGAAAAAAGCAAAAGGCCTGTTTGCCATAAAGCTCTTTTTTGCTCTCCCTTTCTACATAACATTTATTATATTTCCTATTTATATCAGTGTATTCCTTTTAGAAAACTTCAGAAATACAGAAAACTATAAAAGGGAAAATAAAAGCAACCCACCCATCAAGGAGAAGTATGTATTGGTTATGTAAAAACAATTTTGCTGCAGTGGGAGTCCTATTTTTAAAAATATTTTGAACCCTGGTTCTGAGAAAAGAGCAACTTTAATAAGAACGGTTAGTAGTTAATGAAAATTTCTGAAGGAGAGCTCTTGAACACTTTAGAGTTTTAGGAGTAGATGGGCAGTAGCCTTTCAGGATGTCTTTTTTCCAGAATGCCTTTTTTTTTTTTTTTTTTTTTAAGTTCTCCTTGTGAAAAGGAAAGGAAAAGACAAAGAGAGATGTTTTCTTAAGATAACAAGGTAAGAACAGCAGAAGAAATAGGATTAGGGAATGAGGTTAAGGAATAAATACTCGTATGAGAAAGATTGAGGGCCTGGCCCAACAGCAAAAGGGCAAAGGAAAAAGGGAGCTCATAGTACAGGCCTTCCGATGACAGAGTGAAAAGTGTCCAATCTCGGGAGCTGCCACTAGATGGCAGACGCAGCCCAGAGTCCCTCAAAGAAGGGCCTGCCTGGGAGGCTGCCAAAGATGGGAGGAGCTCTTGCTGTTTGGAGAGGTAGAGTGGGCCAAAATTGTGGGAGACCAGAAACTGGGATGAGTAAGGACTGGATGCCTTCCAACAGTGAATGGGAAGTGATCTGACCAGAATGATGTTTAGGAGTGATTATATCAAATTTGGATAGGAGCAGGAGCTGTCTCTGTCATTTTAAGTTTTTGTAGTTCAAGCCTGTGTGCTGACTGCAAATAACTCCCAATTGAACTAGATCAGCTCACTGTTTGAAAGAAAGAAACAAGAGATTAATACGTCCTGCAGATTGTGCAGTAGCTTACATTCCATTTCATGTTCAATGAAAATGTAACTGCTACACCAAATAACGTGGATGAATCTCACAAATACAATTTTGAGAAATAGAAGCCAGACATACTACATGATTCCATTTAAATAAAGTTCAAAACATGAAAGCTAATTGATGGTAAGAGAAGTCAGGATTGTGACCACAATCCCCTTTGAGGGATAGCAGAGACAGGAAAGGGGGCGTGAGGGAGGCTTCTGAGGTGTGTTATAATGATCTATTCCCTAATCCAGGGTGGAGGGGTGTTACATGAGTATATTCACTGTGAGGAAATTTTTTAAGAGATAATTTATAATTACCTTATAATTTGTGTGCTTTTCAATATTATATTTGAATTTTAAATTTTATTTTAAAATATTAAGGATGCCTGGGGTGGCTCTGTTGGTTAAAGTGCCTGTCTTCATTAAGTGTCTCCAGGTCAAGATCATGGAGTCCCAGGATCAGAGTCCTACATCCAGATCCTCGCTCAGCAGAAAGTCCGCTTCTCCCTCTGACCCTCCCCATCTCATGCTTCTCGCTCTCTCTCTCTCCTCTCTCAGATAAATAAAATCTTAAAAAAAAAAAGTAAAATATTGAATCAAAAATGTTTTTAGGGATTAAGTAGTTAGGAGTGTGGAAGTTTAGAAAGAATAAAATACTGATTTTATTATTACAAATCCAAAGTAACTATGATGATTTATGAATATCAAAATTAGATAAAACTGTTTACTCATAAAGGATTATGTTTTGCCCATCTGAAAGAATGGGAGTGATTCTAAGAATATTTTTCCCCTGTCAACTTTCCTGCTCTGTCCCCCCTATTCCACACTAGCATTTCACATCTCTAGGACACACTATGAATTATTAGGCCTATTTTCCCAGACTGTGCAATACTTGAATACCAAAATTATACCTGTGACCCAAATTTATCTTTTAAAAAGTAATTTTCAGATCAATTCTACCTATTGTGTTTAGGGATCCAGTTGCCTTGACATTTAAGAGTATTGAAAATGTTACTGTTTTATATAGCTCTCCTAAACTTGGATGAAGGGGGTTTGGTTGGGGGAGGGTGAAACATCGCTGATATTTATCTGACCTTTTTTTTGTGTCAGTCAGTTTCAGAATTATTTAAAACAGCTGAAGGGTGGAAGCACCCCAAATGTTCATCAGCAGAGAAATGGATAAACAGAATGTGGAATGTAAATACAGTAGAATATTATTCAGCCCTAAAAGCAATTAAATTCTGACACATGCTACAACATGGATGAACCTTGAAAACATGATGCTAAGTGAAAGAAGCCAGGCACAAAAGGACAACTATTGTATGATTCCATTTATGTGAGGTACCTGAAAATAGGCAAATTTATAGAGACAGAAAGTAGGATAAAAATTACCAGAGGCCAGGAAAATTGTTTAATGGATACAGAGTTTCTATTTGGGATAATGAAAAACTCTGTAAATAGATGGTGGTGATGGTTACCCAACACTGCAGATATACCTAATGTCCCTTAACTGTACACTTAGAATGGTTAAATGGTAAATTCTGTTACATATATTTTACCGCACACAAGGTTTAGAAAAAGCCAACACTGAAGAACTGAAACGTGGCTGTCAATCACACTGTGCTCTAGCAGTGCATGACCCCTTTCCCTCCTAACTCACGATACTTACTCTACCACCCTAGGAAATGTGTGTGTGTGAACGAGTCATAAATAACTTTGGCTTTTGTAACCTTACCCATCCTATGGTTAGGGAGGACAGTCTTCTGAGTGAATTCCCCCAAATCTACCTCTGTTTGAAAATCAAGTTCGTAACCATAAATGTTTTATTAGCCTCACAGATGAGATGTGGATTTTTATTTCATTTGAGATTGTTTACAAGGAAATCAGTGCTAGTGGGAGTTTGTTGTGGGTCTAGAAACTATAATCATTCATTCAACAAACATTTATTGAGCACCTACTTTATAGGGACACTTAACATATCTAACTAGGAAGGCTCATACAATCCCTGCCCTGAAGGGATTTGCACCCAGTTGGGAGAGATGTGCAGGTAAATAGTACATAAATGTGCGTCACAGGGGCTCCAATAATGGATCTACATATGCAAGAGAAGCCAAAATCTGTTAGAGGCTCAGTGCTGGGCAGATACTCCATTCAGTTTTGATTCAGTGCTTCCCTATTAATTATTTGCTCTTCAAATTACTATCAAAATGGTCATAAGCAATGAACTACTTCATGTATATACACTCTGACTAAAAGAAATGTATCTATGGGGCGGGGGGGAAGGTCAGTATCAGACCTTGTAATAATTAGAGCAACATTTTAAGAGAGTCCCATTGCCATTTTGAATGCTTTCTACTCTGTAAATTGATCATTGCATACTGGCACGATAATCCCAAGCTGGTTTTCTGCCTCTGTCATCAGCCTAGGATTTGTGGTGTGCTTTAACTCCCCACTCCAATGCTTAGTGGACAGGGAATGCACATTATTATTAATATGAGCCAAAATAAAATTACCTAGGCAAAGAAGGATTACCTGAGTGTCTGACTGAAATTCTCCAAAACTAAATAGCCTGGACCTTAATTCCAGTTCTGCTGCTTTTTCCTCTTCTCTCTCACAGCTAGCCTTAAGCATTTCCTTGTGCTTCAGAAGAAACTCTATGTTGCTATTTCTATGGCAAAAGAAGAAAGAGACCCTTGTCTGTAATTTCTGGTTTAGAAATAAATCATCAGTCAGGACTTTCAACACTTTCCATATCATGTATCAACATCCTATGTCTAGCAAGCCAAATACAAGTTCATAGTCTAAGACTTCATCAAATTACATGCAACTTTTCAGGTAAAATGAGAATAGTAAATGCATATATGCTGCTTTTAACTTCCACCAGGAAGCATTTTCTTCCTGTGGTTCCCCTGAAACCCTCCAAATAACGGCAGAGATGATGTCTCAGGAAGCCAAGTTGTGATGTGATCTAGAGATAGATTCTGTTCTTAGATCCCCTTTTCCTGCCCAACCTACCCACATCGTCCCCAAAACTCACATATGTCAGGGCGAGAGCACCATATGTGGTAAGGATTGGGAGAGAGGAGACACGGGTGAAAAGGATACACTAGTGGTAATGGGGTGGCTATAAAATCATGATTTGTAGGGTCTTAACTTTTGAGTAAGTTAATTTGTTCCAAAGTTCAGTGTAGTTTCACCTACTGTTTGAAAAGACTGCCATCTTTTGCCCCAGAAAACTTCCTAAAAAGGCTTTATACATTTTTATAATGGGTAGATAAATGCATTTAGTCTCTGCAATTTGAAGCTATTGGCCAGTAGCTTCCAATATTACTTCCAATTATATGAAATTTTACGGAAGGTGTTTTGTGAGTCATCAAATCCAGCCTCCTTCCCCCGACAGAAATCCCTTTTATGAGAGGCCAGCTCTATCTACATATGTACATTATAAAATGCTACAGTATTTGAGGCACATAACTTTGTTGAGAGTCAGACCAGGGAAAATGCATGGGTTAGCATTATCATCCAAAGCCTGATTTGATTCGTTGGATGGAGAGTGAAAACTGCCCCAAACAAAACCTAATGAGTTGTGGGGTCACTGTGCTGTATGCCTGAAACTAATGTAACACATGTGTCAACTCTATTTCAATAAGAAAAAAATTAAGACAGTACCTGTTAATTCTTTATAAAAATCTTTCAAACTACCTTTTATTATTGGTAGTTAGGAAAATATTTTGACAAGTGAAAGGAAGTAGAGACTAAAATGAAAGTCTATTCTGTGTAAATATAACTTCTACATTTTACACCCTATAATATAAATTACTATTAATAAAAATCCCACCCTAAATCCAGAGAGACTCTGAGGAAGGTTCACTTAGGAATAAGATGGAATCTGTCTCTGGTTAGAAAATGCTTAATGGAATAAATCTACTTGTTCTTAATAACTTACATTTTATCCTGTATAAGTTTTTCTCTTTTATTTACATCTTCAAGATTTTCATCTACATCTTGGGAATATTGTACCAAAGTTAGATTCTGCTCTTCCAGCTCTGTGAGGACTTGAAGTAACTCTTCTGGTTCTTTGAAGTAAAGCTCCGGCTCCTAATCAGTCAGTAATGAATATAATTCACTTAAAAATATGCTACTTATACTTATCTAGAAAAATACAGTGAGGAAAAGGAATGCCATTCTGATTATGAGGGAGGTAGGCAGAGAATGGCAAAAGAGCCTATCTCCATGACAGCTGGACTTCAGGAAGAGGACATTTAGGGTGCTGGGGGAGATGCAAGGTAATATAGAAGGAAAAAAGGAAGATAAGGAAAACAGAAAGAAGAGATGGAGAAGAGGAGGCCAAGGCAGGAAGAAAGGGAAAATGGGTCAAGGGAAAGGCAGGAAAGGGAATAAAAGAAAGAAAAAGGAGGCTAAGTGAAGGTCATTTTCTCCCTCCATTTTATTTTATATTTTCCCAAAACTTAATAAATATATGTATTACTTTAAGTAAATTTAATTTTTAAAATGATGGCGTGGGTATTTCACGCCATGTTCATCATATTTACTATAGCAAAGAGGTGGAAGCAACCTAAAGGTCCATTAATGGATGAATGGATAAAGAAAACACAGTATTACCATACAATGGGATATTATTCAACCTTAAAAAACAAGGAAATCCTGGCACACGCTACCACATGGGTGAATCTGGAGGACATCAGGTTCTGTGAAAAAAGCCAAGTTACAGAGAGACAAAACTGCATGATTCCACTTTTATGAGGTATCTAAAGTAATCAAACTCTTAGAAAGTAGAACCGTGGTTGCCTGGGCTACAGGGAGGAAGAATAGAGAGGTTCAGTGGGTACAGGTCTCTGTTTTGCAAGATAAAAAAGTTCTAGAGATCTGTTGCACAAAAATGTGCATATAGTTAACACTATACATTTAAATATAAAAATGGTTAGGACGATAAATTCTGTTACTTTTTTTTTTAACCGCAATTTTGAAAAAAGATCACTTGTATAAGATGTGTTACATGTAATAAGGGATGGCGTTTTGAAGCGTTTTTTGTTTCTTGTGAGTTCCTGTGGTTATATTCAGGATGGGGTTAGCTCAAAGTCAGTCTTGTAAAATAAAGGGCTGTTTTGTGGAAGTCTTACAGTACAGCTACACAGCATATCTCAAGCTCCATTAAAATGATAAGCAGTCAGAAAGTGACTATTTTATGCTCTGCAGGAAGACTGTAGAGAATATATATATCTCCTAAATTATTACTTCTTATAAACATTTTTCATTAGATGATGACAAAGATGAACTATAGATGCAACTGGGAAACAGCGTCAAAATCTTCCCTTCTGGAAAGTTGTGGAATATTTGGAATAGGAAATTTTAATTTTTAAAAAATATTTTATTTAGTTTTCATTTCTTTTATTAATTATTTTTATTAACATATAATGTATTATTTGCACCAGGGGTACGGGTCTGTGAATCATCGGGCTTACACACTTCACAGCACTCACCATTTCACATACCCTCCCCAATGTCCATAACCCAACCACCATCTCCATACCAACCCCTCCCCCCAGCAGCCCTCAATTTGTTTTGTGAGATTAAGAGACTCTTATGGTTTGTCTCTTTCCTGATCCCATCTTGCTTCATTTTTTCCTTCCCTACCCCCTAAACCCCCCACTCTGCCTCTTAAATTCCTCATATCAGGGAGATCCTATAATAATTGTCTTTCTCTTGAAAGACTTATTGTCTTGACTTATTTTGCTCAGCATAATACCCTCTAGTTTCATCTATGTCCTTGCAAATGGCAAGATTTCATTTCTTTTGATGGCTGCGTAGCATTCCATTGTGTGTGTGTGTGTGTGTGTGTGTGTGTGTGTGTGTGTGTGTGTATCACATCTTCTTTATCCATTCATCTGTTGATGGACATCTAGGTTCTCTCCATAGTTTGGCTATTGCAGACATTGCTGCTATAAACATTCGGGTGCCCGTGCTCCTTTGGATCATTACATTTGTATCTTTAGGGTAAATACCCAGTAGTGCGATTGCTGGGTCATAGGGTAGCTCTGTTTTCAACTTTTTGAGGAGCCTCCATACTGTTTTCCAGAGTGGCTGCACCAGCTTACATTCCCACCAACAGTGTAAGAGGGTTCCCCTCTCTCTGCATCCTCTCCAACATCTGTCATTTCCTGACTTGTTAGTTTTAGCCATTCTGACTGGTGTGAGGTGGTATCTCATTGTGGTTTTAATTTGTATTTCCCTGATGCCAAGTGATGTTGAGCATTTTTTCATATGTCTGTTGGCCATCTGGATGTCTCCTTTGCAGAAATGTCTGTTCATGTCCTCTGCCCATTTCTTGACTGGATTATTTGTTCTTTGGGTGTTGAGTTTGACAAGTTCTTTATAGATTTTGGATACTAGCCCTTTATCTGATATGTCGTTTGTGAATATCTTCTCCTATTCTGTCAGTTGTCTTTTGGTTTTGTGACTGTTTCCTTGGTGTGCAAAAGCTTTTGATCTTGATGAGGTTCCAGTAGTTCATTTTTGCCCTTGCTTCCCTTACCTTTGGCGATGATTCTAGGAAGAAGTTGCTGTGCCTGAGGTCAGGGAGGTTGCTGCCTGTGTTCTCCTCAAGGATTTTGATGGATTCCTGTCCCACATTGAAGTCTTTCATCCATTTTGAGTCTATTTTTGTGTGTGGTGTAAGGAAATGGTCTGATTTCATTTTTCTGCATGTGGCTGTCCAATTTTCCCAACACTATTTGTTGAAGAGACTGTCTTTTTTCCATTGGACATTCTTTCCTGCTTTGTCGAAGATTAGTTGACCATAGAGTTGAGGGTCTATTTCTGGGCTCTCTATTCTGTTCAACTGATCTGTGTGTCTGTTTTTGTGCCAGTACCATACTGTCTTGATGATGACAGCTTTGTAATAGAGCTTTAAAGTCTGGATTGTGATGCCACCAACTTTGGCTTTCTTTTTCAACATTCCTCTGGCTATTTGGGGTCTTTTCTGGCTCCATATAAATTTTAGGATTATTTGTCCCATTTCTTTGAAAAAAAATTGATGGTATTTTGACAGGGATTGCATTAAATGTATAGATTGCTTTAGGTAGCATAGACATTTTCACAGTTATTGTTCTTCCAATCCATGAACATGGAAAGCTTTTCCATTTCTTTGTGTCTTCCTCAATTTCTTTCATGAGTACTCTATAGTTTTCTGAGTACAGATTCTTTGCCTCTTTGGTTAGGTTTATTCCTAGGTATCTTATGGTTTGGGGTGCAATTGTAAGTGGGGTTGTCTCCTTAATATCTCTTTCTTCTGTCTTGCTGTTGGTGTATAGAAATGCAACTGATTTCTGTGCATTGATTTTATATCCTGACACTTTACTGAATTCCTGTATGAGTTCTAGCAGTTTTGGAGTGGAGTCTTTTGGGTTTTCCACATAAAGTATCATATCATCTGCAAAGAGTGAAAGTTTGACTTCTTTGCTGATTCAGATGCCTGTAATTTCTTTTTGTTGTGTGATTGCTGAGGCTAGGACATCTAATACTGTGTTGAATAGCAGTGGTGATAGTGGACATCCCTGCCATGTTCCTGATCTTAGCAGAAAAGCTCTGTTTTTCCCCATCGAGAATGATATTCACTGTGGGTTTTTCATAGATGGCTTTAATGATACTGAGGAATGTACCCTCTATCCCTACACTTTTAAGAGTTTTGATCAAGAAAGGATGCTGTACTTTGTCAAATGCTTTTTCAGCATCTATTGAGAGTATCATATGGTTCTTTTTTTTTTTTTTAAGATTTTATTTATTTATTTGTCAGAGAGAGAGGAGCTAGAGAGAGCACAGGCAGAGTGGCAGGCAGAGGCAGAGGGAGAAGCAGGCTCCCTGCCAAGCAAGGAGCCCGATGTGGGACTCGATCCCAGGACGCTGGGATCATGACCTGAGCTGAAGGCAGCTGCTTAACCAACTGAGCCACCCAGGCATCCCCATATGGTTCTTTTTGTTCTTTTATTAATGTATTGTATCACATTGATTGATTTGCAGATGTTGAAACAACCTTGCAGCCCAGGAATAAATCCCACTTGGTTGTGGTGAATAATCCTTTTAATGTACTGTTGCATCGTACTTTCTTGTTTCTTGCAAAAGGCTTGTATGGCTATATACTTTCCTCTCAGGACCACCTTTGCTGTGTCCCACAGATTTTGAACAGTTGTGTTTTCATTATCATTTATTTCCATGAATTTTTTCAATTCTTCTTTAATTTCCTGGTTGACCCATTCATTCTTTAGTAGGATGCTCTTTAGCCTCCATGTATTTGAGTTCTTTCCAACTTTCCTCTTGTGATTGAGTTCTAGCTTCAGAGCATTGTGGTCTGAAAATATTCAGGGAATGATCCCAATCTTTTGGTACTGGTTGAGACCTGCTTTGTAACCCAGGATGTGATCTATTCTGGAGAATGTTCCATGTGCACTAGAGAAGAATGTGTATTCTGTTGCTTTGGGATGGAATGTTCTGGATATATCTGTGATGTCCATCTGTTCCAGTGTGTCATTTAAGGCCTTTATTTCCTTGTTGATTTTTGCTTGGATGATCTGTCCATTTCAGTGAGCGGGGGGTGTTAAAGTCCCCTACTATTATTATGTTATTGTCGATGTGTTTCTTTGATTTTGTTATTAATTGGTTTATATAGTTGGCTGCTCGCATGTTAGGGGCATAGATACTTAAAATTGTTAGATCTTGTTGGACAGACCCTTTGAGTCTTGATCCTTGAGTCCTTCCTCATCTCTTATAATAGTCTTTGGCTTAAAATCTAATTTATCTGATGTAAGGATTGCCCGCCCAGCTTTCTTTTGATGTCCATTAGCATGGTAAATAGTTTTCCACCCCCTCACTTTAAATCTGGAGGTGTCTTTGGGTCTAAAATGAGTTTCTTGTAGACAGCATATGGATGGGTTTTGTTTTTTATCCATTCTGATACCCTCTGTCATTTGTTTGGTACACTTAGCCCATTTACATTCAGGGTAACTATTGAAAGAGATGAATTTAGTGCCATTGTATTGCCTGTAAGGTGACTGTTACTGTATATTGTCTCTGTTCCTTTCTGGGCTACTTTTAGGCTCTCTCTTTGCCTAGAGGACCACTTTCAATATTTTCTGTAGGGCTGGTTTGGTGTTTGCAAATTCTTTTAGTTTTTGTTTGTCCTGGAGGCTTTTTATCTCTCATTCTATTTTCAATAATAGCCTAGCTGGATATAGTATTCTTGGCTGCATATTTTATTCCTTTAGTGCTCTGAATATATCATGCCAGTTCTTTCTGGCCTGCCAGGTCTCTGTGGATAAGTCCGCTGCCAGTCTAATATTTTTACCATTGTATGTTACAGACTTCTTGTCCTGAGCTGTTTTCAGGATTTTCTCTTTGTCACTAAGATGATGGGGTGTGGACCCGTTTTTATTGATTTTGAGGGGGGGTTCTCTGTCCCTCTTGGATTTTGATGCTTGTTCCCTTTGCCATATTAAGGAATTTCTCTATTATAATTTGTTCCAGTATACCTTCTGCCCCTCTTTCTCTTTCTTCTTCTTCTGGAACCCCAATTATTCTAATATTGTTTTGTCTTATGGTATCACTTATCTCTTGAATTCTCTCCTTTTGTTCTAGTATTTGTTTGTCTCTCTTTTGCTCAGCTCCTTTATTGCCCCATCATTTCGTCTTCTATATCACTAATTCTCTCTTCTGCCTCATTTATCCTAGCAATAAGAGCCTCCATTCTTGACTGTGCCTCATTAATACCTTTTTTATTTCAGCTTGGTTAGATTTTAGTTCTTTTATTTCTCCAGAAAGGGGTTTTATTTCTCCAGGCAGGGTTTCTCTTATATATTCCATGCCTTTCTCGAGCCCAGCTAGCACCTTGAGAATCAATCTGAACTCTAGATCTGACATATTATCAATGTCTGTACTGATTAGGTCCATAGCCATCAGTACTGCCTCTTGTTCTTTTTTTCGGTGAGTTTTTCCTGCCTTGTCATTTTATCCAGATAAGAATATATGTATGAGAGAATAAAATACTAAAAGGGTGGCAAAGATCCCAGAAAAATGTACGCTAACCAAATCAGAAGAGACCCCAAACTGAGGGGAGAAGAAAGGGGGTAAAAAGAAAAGAAAAAAAAAAAAAAATATATATATATATATTAGACTGGTGAATAGAACAGAGCCACCCACTTTAGGAGTTTTTTGGAGTATTTTTAGGAGTATTTTAGGAGTATTTTGGTCTCTTAGAAGAAACTACCTCCCAAAATTTTAAAGAAAGAAAACCTTATATATATACAAAAATAAGAGTAAACATAATGAAGGGATGGAATATGACTGTAAAGATGAAAATTTTAAAAACTTTCTAAAAAAAAGAATTGATAAGATAAGTTGGTTGGAAAAAGAAAGAAGAAGAAAAAGTGGGGGAGAGAATGTGCTCAGGCTGGAGACTAGAACAAAGCCTGTACTAGATTTAGGGTATATTTTGATCTATTAGAAGAAGTTATATCCCAAAATTTTTTAGAAAAAGAAAAACCCTATATGTATACAAAAAATAAGGTTAAATACAATGAAGGATAAAATGTGACTATAATAATGAAGGTTTAAAAAGATTTTTTTAGAAAGGTATTGTTAAGATAAACTAGTTAAAAAACATTAAAAGAGAAAGAGGAAAAATTTTTAAAAATAGAAAAAGAAAAAAATAAAATTTAAAAAATTTAATTTTACTTTGCAAGACTAAAGCATCATGGGGAGAAAGCCTTGAATTTCATGCATTGCTTTCCCGTAGCGCTGGAGTTCCGCTGTTCTCCTTGATCAGTGAGCTTGTTCTTGGCTGGATGTTCTTGTTGATCTTCTGGGGGAGGGGCCTGTTGTAGTGATTCTCAAATGTCTTTGCCTGAGGCAGAATTGCACCACCCTTGCCAGGGGCCGGGCTAAGAAATCTGCTCGAGTTCTCTCTTGGGAGCTTTTGTTCCCTGAATGCTTTCTGTAGAGCTCTGGAGAACGGGAATGAAAATGGCAGCCTCCCAATCCACTCCTCAGTGTCTTCAGAGAAAAGGGGTCAGTCACTCCCATCTCCCTGGTCTCCGGCTCTGCTCTGGGTTCACCCGGCCTGTGATCGAGCGTTTCTATCTCTGATGCACAGTCCCATTTGGAGTCTCCAAACCCAGCAGATTCCTGTCTCCAGAGGAGGAAGGTGAGTCTCCCCAGATCTGCCACTTGTGGGGTCCCTGCTTAAAGAACAGTGGTCCAACTGTGCCACAGATCACGGTTTAAGGTAATTCCGAGCTGAGAACTCACTCCTGGGCTCTGTCTCTGTAGTCAGCTTCCCCACTCCAATTCCTGGGAGCTCTGCCACACTCCAACAGCCCCGATCTTTCAGTGACCCCACAGGTCCTGAGACTACACTGTCCTGGGAGGGCTTACCGCTTCCCCTTACCCCTTCCCCACTTAGCCTCTGGAGCAATGTCCCTCAGTGGAGCAGACTTCTAAAAGTTCGGATTTTGTGCTCCACTGCTCTGCTGCTTGCCAGGATCCGGCCCCGCCCCCCACGGTCTATCTTCCCATCGCCTAGGATTCACTTCTCCACACATCCTACCTTTCAGAAAGTGGCCAATTTTCTGTTCCTAGAATTGCTGCTTATCTTCTCTTAGATCTCCTGTTGAGTTTGTAGGTGTTCGGAATGGTTGGATAACTATCTAGCTGAACTCCTGCAACCTGATGTCATTTCAGTCTGCTACTCCTCCACCATCTTAGATTTTATTTATTTATTTGACATAGAGAGACATAGGAAGAGAGAGAACACAAGCAGGGGGAGAGGGAGAAGCAGACTTCCCACTGAGCAGGGAGCTCGATGTGGGGCTTAGTCCCAGGGCCCTGGATCATGACCTGAGCTGAAGGTAGACACTTAACAACAGAGCCACCCAGGCGCCCCTAGGAAATTTTAAATTTAAAAGAAAAAAATGAGCTCTTATTCTCGTCACCAAACACAATATTTAAATTAAAAAAGATAATCTTGTTACCAGATCATAGTCCATATCATTCTCTAAAAATAATTCCAAGCTGTCTTCTGAACTGATGCTCTCAGTGTGGCTGTAAAAGAAAGAAAATGTCTGATTTCTGAGCCACTTTCAGTCAACAGATTTGCTTCATTTCTAAATTGTCTTTGGAACCTAACTATAACGTAGTCCTTTTCAATAGCCTTTTTAGCCTTTTAGGAAACTGCTGTTTGCAGGAATCAATGGATTCCATACATAGGCAAAAGAAAATCAGATTCCATCCAGACAAGGGTGACATATCTAAACAAGTGAGACCACAAGGAAGGGCCAAACCACATGGTACCAATTATTTGAGGTGCATTTATAAGAAATCTTTTTAAAGAAACACATGACAACCTACATTTCTGCATCTGTTTTGTTTCTTTTAATGCAGTCTTCTTGACAAACTAAACATGTGCTCTAGTGCTCAAAACAAAGCTTGTTCCCAGAGTAACACAATATTTGTCTTCTGAAGAGTGGATTTTACTTTTTAAAATATCTTCTGATCAGGCTGAGGAATGTTGGTTGGAGGGACAGGAGATGAGGTACACTCTTAAAGAGTAATTATGTGGTTTGCATAGAGGCTTTGGAAAAATCCTTTAAGAAGGATAAATTGAAAATGATTGGAAAATTAAAGAGGTAGAGACTAGAGACAGTAAGGTGGCTGTTGGTGTGATCTAGGTAATGAACATGTTCAAGTAGAAGGTAGTGATGAAGGGAAGAGTGAGTAAATGGGCTGGGGATGGGAGGAGAATCTAGAGATACATGAAAGAATGAAATCCTGGGAACCATGAGTAGAAAGAGCTACCGGAGCCAAAAAAGAAGAGACAGAGATGACTCCAACATTTGTAGTCTGTGAATCTGGAATAATGGAAGTCATCCTAATAAGATGGAAAACAGTTAAAGGATGAGCTAAGAAAAAAATTAGTATTTGCTTTGTTTGTGTTGAGTTTGAGGGAACAAAATGGAGCTGCCCTTTAAGGCATGGGAAATAAAGTGTGGGAACATGGAGAAAGAGCCATAGAAGTAAATGAATATTTGGGAAACATCCTCTGAGAAAGCATTTGGTAACTACTGTCCACTCAGCTCTTCTCTTGATCCAATAGTATCGTTTTCTCATCAGTCTTCTCCCACCTCTCTGAAATTCTTGTTACCTTTTTGGTTTCCTTTTCAACATAAATGTCTGTGGTTCCTCAGCCTTCTTCCCCTCTCATTTTACCTACTCTTTAGGGGTTATTCACCCTCTTTCATGGATTCTATCACTGCTAATATACTAATGGCTCCCACATATCTATCTCTTTCTCTTGAGCTCTAGACTTCAGTGTCCAACTTCCAACTGGATATCAGTGTCTGCTTGGCTGTCCTACAAGGAGCTAAAACTAAAACAATCCAAAATCACACTCCTTATCTTCCCTTCAGGCCCGCTTCCCTAACAGTGTTCCAAGTATTATTGAATGCCAACACCATACAACCAGTTGCCACACAGAGATTTCGGAGCTATGCTTGACAAAATCTGTGAGTTATTTGTTATGTTTTCATTATCTCTCCCTTGACTTGTGATACCAGGCTCTTAACTGGACCCTCTTACCTCTAGATTTGTCTCCCTCCATTTCATTCTCTAAAATACTCCCACTTCCAATTTTCTAAAATGTACATCTGATTGAGTCTCTGTTATACCCTTGCTTAAAACCCTCAGTGGCTCCCCAGGACCCTTGGGACAAAGCACCACTGCTTACCTGCTCATGATACAGTAACTATTCATTCCTTGAGCCTCTCACTTTCACCCTGTGGCCCAGCCATTTTGAGGATGGGTGGGAGATGGGCACAATGTGAAGGGGAGTGGGAGATACAGGCTTCCAGTTATGGAATGAATAAGTCACAAGAATAAAAGGCACAGCATAAGGAATATAGTCAATGATAGCATAATAGTGTTGCATGGTGATGGCTATACTTGTGATGAGCATAGCACTGTATCATGATATTGTACACCCAAAACTAATGTAACATTGTATGTCCACTATACTCAAATAAAAAAATAAAAAATAACGAGGATAAACTTTTTTTAAAAAAGCAAAATAAGATATATACATCTAAAAAATTATTTAAAAAAGAGCAAAAAAAAGAGAGAGATCTACATCTATCAGAATAGCTAAAATTAAAAAAATAATGAAAACAGTAAATGCTGATGAGAATGTAGAGAAACTGGATCCCTTGTTCATTACTAGTGGGGATGTAAAATGGTGTAGCCACTCTGGGAAAAAAATTGGCAGTTTCTTTAAAAACTAAGCATATACATACCATCCAACTCAGCAACTGCAGTATAGGCATTTATTCCAAAGAAATGGAAATAATGTGCACACAACAAGTTGCACAAAGATATTTATAGCGATTTTATTCTTTATAGCCCCAAACTGGAAACAATCTGGATGTCATTCAGTGAGTGAATAGTTAATTTGTAGTGTGTCCATACCATATTATCGTTGACTCTGTAACAACCTCTACACTGTCAAAAATCTGCATATAACTTTTGACTCCCCCAAAACTTAACCACTAATAGCCAACTGCTGACCTGAATCCTTACCAATAACTTAAACAGTTAACATATTTTGTATGTTATATGTATTACATACTATATTCATACAACAAAGTAGGCTAAATAAAAAAATGTCAAGAAGAACATAAGGAAAATACACTTACAGTACTATACTATGTTTATCAAAAAAATCCACATATAAGGGAAAATGCATAGTTCAAACCCATATTGTGCAAGGGTTTAACTGTGATACTACTCAGCGATAAAAAGGAGCCAACTCCTGATAGACCCAACAGCTTGGATGAACCTTCAGAGAATGTATGGTCTGTAAAACATCCACTCCCAAAAGATTACATACTGTATGATTACATTTATGTAACAGTTTTGAAATGGTAAAAAAATCAAAGCGATAGAGAACAGATTAGTGATTCCAGGACTTAAGGAGAGGAAGAGAGAGGGAAGTGGATATACTACAAAGGGGCAACATGAAGAATCCTTGTGATGATGTTCTGTATTTGTTTGTATCTTGACTGAACCAATGCCAATATCCTGCTTGTGATATTGTACTGCAGTTTTGCAAGATGTTACCATTGGGGGAAACTGGATAAAGGGTACACAGATCTCTCTGCATTATTTCTTGCAACTGTATGTGAATCTACAACTATCTCAAAATTAAAAAAAAAACATTAATTAAAAGCAAAGTAAAACTGTGACTCTTAAGTGCCACGGAAGTGGAGTGACCTCAGGGTCCCTGGCATTTAGAGTACAGTGTCTGTGTTGACTTTTGTCATGTGTGATTGTCATGGATACTGTGTTGCTGGCCCAGATCCTCTCCTGGGGGCCAGTGTACCCATCCTGGTCATCAATATATTTTCTTAAATAACCAGGGTTGAGAACTAGCAATTTATGAAATAATGAGTATTAACGACTCAACAATCGTGTAAGGGACAAAACAAACAAAAAAGTTTTGTGATCCGATTGCAGCAGTTTTGAATGATGTGGTAAAACTGCAAATGCAGGAGTCAGCAGAGTAGCTTATCTTAGCTCTCTGAGAGCCAGACCCAGGACGCAGAGGGCAGGTGGTTTCTGCAAACAGCAGTGGCAGGCACTCATCAAAGAATGCGTGGGGGCCTGTGGGAGCTCAGCCACCTCAGGAGCACCCGGAAATGGCAGCCGCCACCTCCTGTATCTGTTAGGACGGGTATTTGTAGGTGGTCTCCATGTTGAAGAAAGGCTAAAAGGGATATTTTCTGAAAAATATTTCCAAGAGAGTTAATGAAGTAAGTACTGTACCTTGATACAGATGATTTCTTACTCTCTGGAGTGGGCTTCTTGTGTGGTTTTCCTATTCATAATGTCCAGGCAAAGTCCACGTCATTGGTGATGGTGGAGATGAAAAGAAATAACATAGAATTAGAAATGAGTCCTAGTTATTTGGTGCAAGATACTCATTTCTTCTGCATGGATATGCCCATTCTTTTTATTAGAATGATAATAATAGAATGCCTGAGCTAATAGATACCCGAGCTTATTTATTCTAATGAAATTGGATTCCAAGCCTAAAAGTAAAATCAAAGGTAGTGGTGGGGTGGGGTGGGGGCTGGTGCAGTGCGAGGTACGTATTATCAAAAACATGATATAACTATCGATAGTCCCAAATCAGGGGCATAAATTGTGAAATATAAATCATGGTTCTTTTTTTTTTTTTAACCTAACCAGGTATATTTCATATATAATCACAGATTTTTAAAAATCAAGGCAAAAAATAAAAATGATGAACACTGCAGTTGTTACATTTTGTGGAGGGGATGTCTTGTGCTGGTTCTCTGCCCCTGACTTCTGTGCCTGTTGTGTCCATTCATCCACCTCTCCCGAGTCTTGTAATCATGTCAGAGAGAAAGAAATGGAACACCTAGCTCCCAAGGATGCTGGGTGATGTGGTCACCACCGTTTGTTTGCCAGGTTAGCTCAGAGGTCCCGGATTTCCAATTTGAGATGGGCACCTCCCTGGTTTTACTTTTGTGAATGAAGTCTCTGGTGTTACCTTGGCGATCTCTTTCCACATAATAGTCATCTGAAAATGATATCTTCCTGGGATCCTCAGTACTGCCATCTGTTTTCGTTTTATTTAATTCTAGAAATGAAAAAAGGTGGGGGAGAAAAAAGGGGAAAACACTTCTGAGAGGTTTGTCTCATGATACAAGGACAGAAGTGTAGGATGGGGGCATTGTAACAAGCAAATGTATGATGCTGAAGGCAAGGGCTGGTCTCTGGAACAGGCAGAATGGAGGGGAACTGACCTGCAGGGCACAAGGAGGTCCCTGTTTCCTGCCTCAGTCAACAGCCTGATAACTTCTGTAATCCCTGCATCAGCCATTCACTCCTCTAGACTGAGGGACTCATTGCTTTCTAAGTATCCGCTAGTTAAAGGACAAGTCTAGGAGCACTGAAGTTTAAGCTGCTAAATGCAATTACTTCCTGATTTTCCTTTCTATAGGTTTTCTCTCTTGTCAAACTGTGCTGAGTTTAACCAAGTGCCATCACTGTGCTCAATACTCTGTACACATGATTTAACTTAATAATAGCAAAGTGAGCTGTGACAGCCACCGCTGCTGTGCTGGGAAGTGTTTAACCATCAGCTCTCTGGAAGAGTTCTCCCTGGTTTGTAGTTTACTTGCTTCTGTGGGGTAAATGCTCTTACCCAGGAGTCTCAGGATCAGCCCTCAGCTGAAGACTCTGGAGAGAACTCTCTGTGTAGCTCTCTCCTCTCCAGGACTCTGCTCTGGGAAATCCAGCCTCCCTATATATATCCTTAGCTCCGTCTCTGCAATTCATGGGGACTGCTGGGCTCCTCCTTCCTCTGCTACATCCTGGAAATGCTCCCCAGGCACTATGCTGAGACCATCATTTGGCTTATCTCATTTGTCTCTCCTCTCTCATGGATATCTCTGCTTCTCTCCTTGATGCCTGATGCCTGAAACTTTCATATATTTTTCACATTTTTTTTTTAAGCAGGAGGATAAGTCTGGTCCATGTCACCCCAATGTTGCTGGAAGTGGTAGTTTTCCTCTTTGATTTGTATTCTGATCACTTATTCGATTCTTACCTATAATAGATCTATTTTTGGTCCATTGAGCTGACTTCGTAATACAAGTACCATGGGGTGTTAATTTCTGAGACTCTGGGATAACATATTACATAATACTTTAAAAGATTAGTAACACCAGGACACCTAGGTGGCTCAGTGTGTGAGCAACTGACTCTTGATTTCGGCTCAGGTCATGGTCTCAGTCAGGGTCCTGAGATGGAGCCCCACGTTGGGCTCCATGCTCAGTGAGGAGCCTACTTGGGATTCTCTCCCTCTGCCCCTCTCCCCACTTGCTCTTTAGATAAATAAATAAATAAAATCTTTAAAAAAAATAATACCAGAGATAGTGGGAATTCTTGTTCAGGTTCTGCTTAAAACAGAAATTCTGACTGTTTAATAAATTACTCAAATAAATATTGAAACATCTAAAAATTAGGGATATTTACTTAATTGAAATTAAGAACATGTGACTCACTTGTTAGTACTGGAAGACTGACATTCATACTCTCTCTACTCTTTCTCATCTGCGCCCTTTTCAGCACTTGTTGGATTTGCCAGTGTTTTGGAGACAATTTCAGCAGAAAAAATCCATATTTCATGTACTCTCTAAGGAGGAATTCTGTTTTTGCTATATCACTACTCAAAAGAAATGAAGATATCATTAGAAATATTCATGTGAAAGCATGTTCATTTAAAAAAAGAAAGGTTTCACCAATTTGTTCCCTTGATTATGTATTTGAATAATAATTTATATAACAAAAATTGTAAGTAGGGTCATAAAAATATGGGCGTCAAGAAGATAAGATGAGGGGCGCCTGGGTGCCTCAGTGGCTTAAACCTCTGCCTTTGGCTCAGGTCATGATCTCATGGTCCTGGGGTCGAGCCCCGCATCGGGCTCTCTGCTCGGCAGGGTGCCTGCTTCCTCCTCTCTCTCTCTCTGCCTATTTGTGATCTCTGTCAGGTAAATAAATAAAATCTTAAAAAAAAAAAAAAAAAAAAAAAAAAAGATGAGAAAAGAACCCATAGGAGTGCTACTGAATAAAACATGCCCAGGATATACACACATGGAATAGACTGATGCAATTTTACTCATTTATTTCGGAGGGAAATCTCGTATTAAATTTTAGACATAGGAAGAAATTAGTAGGCAGCATATGATGGGACTTATGTGAGAAGAAAAAAGAAAACTAACACGAGCGAGCTCCTACTATGGAGTGGGCAATACGCAGGAGCGTGACGGATACCATCGCCTTCTCTGTACAGCACTTTACAGTCGGTACCACTCCCACCTTTTGGAAGAAGAAATGAATGACTTGCAGAGTCATCTGTCTAGTAAAGGCAGAGCCGGCACTCAGGTGCGGCTGCGGCTGACTCAGAGGCCCAAGCTCTCACCTCTGCTACCCAGGGACTTGGACTGAACCCTCTCCCCAGCCTCACACTGCTTTCCCATAATCGTGCTACAAAGTGGACCTTGAAGGAATGTTTGAAATAGCCACGAAGGCCCTCATGAAAGGGAGCTCCACCCGTTTTCTTCCCAGCGTCTTCAGTTATGCCCTCTTCAACACCCTCAGCAGTGTCCTCTGCCCCAGCAGCGTCAGCTCCACCACTTCTTGCAGGCGGTGCCTCCTTCCTCCCTGATGGGAGTGAGATTCAAGAGCCAGCAAGCATCTGGCTCATGCATCATGCTCCAAGACCTAGGGGGCCCCTCATGCTACTGCCACTTTGTTTTTAGTTGGAAAGCCTCCCAGAGGCGCTGCAAGAACAGGGTTAAAATGGCTAGCATTGCACAGCTTTCGAGCAAAAGCTTCAGAACAAGATTCCTTCCCCTTTGTAAACAGATGTCCAGCCCTACCTGCAGTGGACAACCTTCCCGGGCCATCTCCAGGCCACAGAGAGAAAAAGGAAATAAATAGCAGGTGCCTGCATCCTTTGTGCTGTCCCCAGCTTGTTTTTCATAACCTTTTGCACCTTTCTAGGATGACGAGACACATACACACTAAGCCAGCTCTTTTCAGCAGGGCTGTTCGGGGGTTGGCCATTGTGCATAAACACAGGACTCCGTGCAGGCACAGAGGCTGCTACTCTGGCTCCATAAATAGAACAGAATCTTCTAATTACATGACAGAGTGAAGGCAGGAAGGGAATGCTCCACCTTGGAATGACTTCAACTTTAGGCTTCTAAAATAGAAGAGGCTCCGGAGCCAGGATGTGTTTGAAAACACACATTCTGTTAATATCAACTGGTTTCAAAGAAACTACCATCTGGTTCATTTGCTATATTTTAGACAAGCTGCTGTCCTCTACTCCAAAAACTCTAGGACTTGGTTTTAGAGGAAGGGTAAGTATCAAATCCTCAAAAAGAAAAAAGAAAAGAAAACAAGTTATAGTATGACTTGATAACAAAACTAGTGTCTCCTGGGTCATGAAACTACTGTCCAAGAATGATGATAGAAGGAAGCTTCTTTAGATATTTAAAATTAGACCAAGTGAGATACACTTGACTACAGAAGAAAACATCCAGGCTTGGGGGTGGGGGGAGTGGTAGGTGGTATAAATTTATCCCAACTCTCCTTCCTGTAAATATGTCATTATAGATTCTGGCTTTTTTTTTTTTTTAAGATTTTATTTATTTGACAGAGAGAGAGAGATCACAAGTAGGTGGAGAGGCAGGCAGAGAGAGAGAGGAGGAAGCAGGCTCCCCACTGAGCAGAGAGCCCGATACGGGGCTCGATCCCAGGACCCTGGGATCACGACCCGAGCTGAAGGCAGAGGCTTTAACCCACTGAGCCACCCAGGTGCCCCAGATTCTGGCTTTTAATATCAATTCTAGGTTCAACTAAGTATAACTATAAAAAATCCTGCCAATTATAGTTGAGAGATGGTTGTAAAAATGAATCCCAATTTTAGAGTTGTTAAAAATGTGGAGAGAAATATGCCTTCAGATGAATGAAAGAGGGCACTTAGAAAATAATTTGTGGTACACTCTTAACATTGGCTTGCTTCTTTTCAACCAGTTTCTAGGCTTCTACATTGACAAGTTACAGAAACTTTTCAGCCAGAGGTCACGATGCTCCGATATCCAGGCAGAGATAGATGGTCCTTATTTAAAAGAGACAGATTACGTGTTTAAAAATAAGGTTATGTGTAGAAAATCATCAACTGATAAGGAATATTCCCATGAAGGTCTTGCTGGGCACAGGGAAGTTTCCATGGGGCTGGGACCTTTGAGAAGGAAAAGATGGTGCCCAGGGCTCACCTTTTCACGGCCTGCACCTCCATACTGGCTTTCTTGAGCTCTGCTGTCATTTGGAGTTTGTTTATAGTTTCCTGTGCTGCACTGAAAAGTAACAGGCATCAGTTAGTTTGTTTTGTGTTGTGTTGTATTCTGAGAAACTAAAAAGGAAGAGGGAGGGGAAAAGGCAATTTGGCCCGAGTAATAAAAACGAACATTTTAAGAGCATCTACAGATCGCTGGTCATTTTCTCGAAGGAACTCTTCAAAGGCCATTGCGTCTTCTTGGAGTTTTTTTTCTGCTCTTGTGAGTTGCCGTTCTTTTGCCACCATGTGTTTTTCAAACTTTTTAATTGTATTTCTTTTGGTTGACAGGGCATACTAGGAATATTGAAAACAGAAGTGCAACATTATGCCACATTTCCAGCTCATTGCTAGTACATTTCATCAGTATGCTAATAAAGGGGAAAGTAACTTGCATAGTAAGTGATCACTTGTATTAGAAATAATAGCATGCCAAGTCTTGAGACGATAGCCTTTATTTTACGAATGAATTTATTTTGGGATCGTTAGAAGGGAGACTCATTCTTCTCTTTCACTTTTATGAAGAGGCTCAATATGGTTCCCAAAAATCAAAAGGAGCTGCATATCCCCTCAGGCTCTAGCCTAAAAAATAAAAATTAAAACAACAACAACAATAACAACTATGTATCCCTCCAAAGAGGAGGTCTACCTGGTATGATCCACAATAGCCCTCCAATATTTCTGGCCATTGGGAAATTGGTGGTCTGCAGTCACAAAGCCTCTTCCATTAGGAAGTAGCCCAGAACAATGAGGTTTTCACCCTGCTATGCCTATGACACATTCCGCCAAGCTGCCCAAGGGTAGGGGTCTTTAACCAGCCTCCAAGAACCCTGTGTAAATCCCCAAATACAACTTTGATATCTAGCCTTGGTATTTTTTTATTACAGAATATAGGAATTCACTATGGTTTATAATGGCATGCATGAAAAAGAAATTATAAATAAAATCACATACATTATAATATAAATGAATTTAAAGTATGTAAATGAGATCGTTTTAAAGAAATAACAACTGGGGAGTCAGGGGCCAGACAAAGTCACCAGAGGTCTTCAGTAGAGGTGGGACGCATGTGGAGAACAGACTGTAGGGAGAAAAGTGGAGGCAGACCAGTGCTCAGAAGTTGTAACAATAATTCACGCAAGTGATATTGGTAACAGTGGCAGCAGGGAAGGTCATGAAAAGTAGTGTGAGTATGGGTATATTGGGAAAAAATACATTTGAAAGCATATTTGGATGTGGGTTGTAGGTAGGAGAGTAGAGGATAGCTCCAGTGTTTTTGGCCTAAATAACCAGAAAAATGAAACTGCTACTCACTACGATAGGGCACTCCGTGAGATGCAGATTTGCAGGGGTAGGGAAGAGTATAGGAGGGGCAAAATTTTAGAAATGGGAAGTCCAAGGTGCCTACTGGGCGTCTAACCAGAGATGTTAAGAACTACAGTTGCCTTTGTGAGTCTGGAGTTCAGGGAAAAGATCAGGGTAGAGAAATAAGTTTGGAAGTTGTTAACGGGGAAGTGGAATTTAAAGCCATGGGCCTGGAGGAGGGTAGATAGAGCATAGGATGAGGGGTGAGTCTGGGGGCATTCCAACATTTGGAGATCCAGGAGAAGAGGAATAAGAAAAGCAATCTGTGAAGACATGAGCAGCCAGTGACGAGGAAGAACCAAGAGACTGTGGGTCCTGGAAACCAGCCGAAGAAGACATTTCAAGAAAGAGGAAGTGACCGAATGATCTAACTGCTGCTGGGAAGGAAAAGGAAGGAAAAGCAAGACTGTGAGGTGACAATTTGAACTTGGCAATGGGAAGGTCACTGAGAACCTTCACAAAAGCAGTTTTGGTGGAATGATGAGGAAAAAAAGCCCAACTGAAGTTGTTTAGGAAAGGATCAGAGGTACTATAAATCTGGAGCATGTAATAAAAAAAATAAGTTGTTGAGGTGAAAATTTGGCAATGCTCTGCCAGAAGTCCTCTGTTTGACTAATGGGAGAAAAAAATTATTTTTACTACCTCCAGCAGAAACCTGTCTCTCTGGTCATTAATAAATTCATAAATAGTCCTTTTTGTGTCCGCACCTTCAAAGAAAATTGAAATAGACCTAGGTTTAGTTCATTATCCCTCAAGAGCGCCTATAATATAAAAGCTATGTAATTAAATTATTGTATTTGGTATGTATCTGACTTAAAAAACTACTATCCCTTCAAATAAAGTTTTTTTCTAATCACTAAAAAACTGATTTCCTAATAGTAACTACCATTTATTTTGTGTCCATCATATTCCAAGAACTTTATTAGACATTTTAAATAAATCATTTTATTTGATCCTAACAGTAACCCCAATGAGGTACATATTTCTGAACCCATCCTGTATGTGAGCTCAGAGATGTCAAGACACTTGCCCAAGATAACAAAGCTAACACCTGGCAGAAGGGGCATATGACTCCGAAGCCCGTGCTGAAGGAGACAGAGCTGTTTTAAATCTTAGTGTTTTGGCCAGTCTGGATATCAAACCAAAGTCCTTTGGCAAAACGTGTGTGGGGATTTTACGGCAGGAAGAAAAAAGATGACAGCTAGCTTTACCATCTAATAATAAAAAAGACTAAGTTTCCTTTCAAGGTTTCTTCATTCTGGAAAAATTACATATAGGCTGCATTTCAACAAGGTTCGCTTCATGAAAAACAAACAGAATGTGATATAGAACAAAGTCTCCTGATTAAAACATAGATAAAAGTAGAAATAAAACAGTGTTTCCTGGATAACCAGTGAGGCTCTGCTGCCCTGGGAAGCCCAGAGTCCCATTGGGTCATATTCTGCCCCCGCCTCTTAGTAGCTATGAGGACCTGAGTAAATTACTCACCCTCTCCAAGCCTCAGTTTCTTTGTCTGTAAAATTGAGGATCCTAACTGTGGTAGATTGTATTATTGTTCCAAACTATTTCCTGCCCCTCTGTGGAAGAAGATCATCTCTCCCTCCCCTCACTCGTGTTGGGCTTGACCACTGACTTGATTTGGCTCATGGAACGCCAGTGGCAGTGACCTGCATGGCTTCCAGGCAGAAGTTTTAAGAACCACCACTGGTTCCCTTTTCCTGCCTCTGCTGTAACTCCAGCAACATACCAGTCAGGGACTCTTCCTTCAGAGCAGGACCCAATGAAAAGCACCAACATTGAAAGGTGAATGACAAATAAACTTATGTTGTTGCAAGCCACTGAAATTGAGGAATGGTTTATGACCACAGCAAAAATTAGTCTAAGTGGGTAATTACTATTACCTTTACCTCATAGTGGTATTATGAGAAGAAGGAAGTGAAGCAACATTTTATAAAACATAGTAACTTCTTTTTCTTAGACAAAGAGAGAATGAGAGAGAGCCGGTGAGCTGGGAGGGGCAGGAGGAGAGGGAGAGAGAATCTTCAGCAGGTTCCACATCCAGTGTGTCAAGAGTAGAAGCTTCACTGACTGAGCCATCCAGGCACCCCAACACATAACAACTTCTTAACAATTGCTAGCTATTATTAAAAATACAATTGCAATGAGTAATCACTTAATTTTTCCAGGTCAATAATAGCAATATAATGATTATTTTAATCATAAAAAATAGTTCTGTAATTATGGGTGACAACAAGCCTTGGAGTCGGACAAGCATTGGTTTGAATTCTGCATCTACCTAGTGATCTTTAATTAGTGATTCAATCTCACTGAGCCATTTCATCAGAGGAGGAGAAGAGAAACATCTAACAGCATTTTGTTGAGGATTAGATAAAGTAACATATGTGAAGATAATAAGCACCTAGTTATAATGGTTTTCTTTTTAATACATAAAACTTTTTATTATAGAAATCCTCAACATTCGGGGTGCCTGGTTTGCTCAGTCATTAAGTGTCTCCTCCCTTCAGCTCAAGTCATGATTCCAGGGTCCTGGGATCCAGCCCTGCATCTGGCTCCCTGCTCAGTGGGGAGCTTCTTTCTCCCTCTCCTGTTCCCCCTGCTTGTGCTCTTTCTCTGTCAAATAAATAAATATAATCTTAAAAAAAAATCCTCAACATTCATAAAATGAACTGCCTTGTACCTATCACCTACTTCAACACAATCAGCATCTTATCTCTCTTGTTTCATCTATTGCTATCCCTCATTCCCCCCTCACTGGCATATTTTAAAGCAAATCCAAGCCATCATTATCATTTAATCCATAAATACTTCAGTATATAACTCCATCAGATAAAAAAGCTTTAAAACATAGTCATGATACAGCTATCACCCCCCAAAAAATGAACAATTCCTTAGGACCATCTTATACCTAGTCTGGGTTCAAATTTTCCCAGTGGTCTCAAAAATAATTTTTTAGAATTAAAAAAATTAAAATCTAAACAAATATAAATTTGGTTGGTATAGCCCCTAAAGTCAACTTTTTATCTATAACTGCCATCCCTACCTCCCCCGCACATGACCTTTTCTCCATGCCATTTACTGGTTTAAGGAAACAGAGGAGGGGCGCATGGGTGGTTCAGTCACTTAAGTGCCTGACTTGATTTTGGCTCAGGTCATGACCTCGGGGTCATGAGATCGAGCCCTACGTTGGGCTCCTTGGGGGCATGGAGTCTGCTTAACATTCTCTCTCTCCAACCCCCTGCCCCTCCCCCACCCCCTCTTTCCCTCTTTTAAAAAACAAAACCAAAACGAAAACCAGACCAATTTCCCTCTAGAATTTCCTGAATAACGGATCTGGCAGATTGCATCCTCATGGTATTATTTAACATGTGCTCAATCGCCCATGTTTACCTGATCAGATTCAGGTTCAATTTACCTAAAGAATATTTTTAGTAGAAAAGAAGCATGAAAGTGCTTACTGTCGCTTTCGCTCAGTCACTTATGATGGATCACATGAATTGGAATACATTTCAATTAAAAAAATCCTATACTGGGGCGCCTGGGTGGCTCAGTGGGTTAGGCCGCTGCCTTCGGCTCAGGTCATGATCTCGGGGTCCTGGGATCGAGCCCCGCATCGGGCTCTCTGCTCAGCGGGGAGCCTGCTTCCTCCTCTCTCTCTGCCTGCCTCTCTGCCTGCTTGTGTTCTCTGTCTGTCAAATAAATAAATTAAAAAAAAATCCTATACTGTCCATTTACTAAATATTAGAGTCATGCTTACCATTTTAGGCTACTTTAACATGGTACTATCTGGCTGAGTTGATGTGATTTTATTCTTTCTGTGATCTTTATTCTGGTAATTCTGAAAGATTCTGATGTGATCTTTATTCTAGTAAATAGACTGGTTATAGTGGGTTTCCCACTTTGGCTTTTCTAGCTATCCAGAAGGTTTTTTGAAACAAGGAGACCATGTATGATAAAACCATCTTCCAAGCACTAGTGTCCCTCAACACCAGAGTATCTCACCACTCACTGGGGATGTGATCCAGTGGTGTCGCCCCTTGAGAGTAAAACCACGGTCAGGATGCCGGCTCCCTGGAAGGGGAGATGGCACTTCTAGGACGCAGCCCAACTCATCTGTCTGTGACAGTAGCCTGCGTAATTTCTTTGAGGTGATCTAGCAGTTGGCTACTACCGCATACACAAAAATAACTAGGCTCCCAAAGTAGGGGAAACTTGCTCATTTTATACCACATAGGCTTGTCTTTAATCAGAATTCAGGCAGGAAACGTGAGGTTGGTAAATGGGCGCTTCACCAAAGCAAATCATGATTAGAAAGTCTGAGGGGGATTTCTTTATTTTCAATGAAAATTGTCCAAATGGCTTATCTTTGTAATCAGAAACTGACAACCTGATTTCCATTGCTGACAGAGCTCAGATGGTCTTGGATAATACCAAACAATTTTACCATTTCCTTTTAAGAGTCTAGTGTATTTCATTTACTGTTAAGAGACCAGTAACCCCTCTGTCAACCAGCCTGGTGTCAAATAGGGTCATCTGCAAAGTCATATTTGCTTGTTCTCTCAGAAGTGGTAGTGTGGCATGGATTTTTGAAGGTAGCCACTTTGTGTAGAACTCAAAAACACGTCACGTATAATTTTAAGTGCTCTTGATGACTTAGGGTTCACCATTCTACAGAGGTGAGCTATGAGACACAAGACTGACGCTAGCTATACCCTATCCATGGTATAGTCACTGATACCGCCATGTTGCCTGACATTTTTGCACTTCTTTGTACAACGATAGTGCAGAATACGCATCTCCAAGATCTAAAAAAGTTAACATGGCTCCCCTCTTCTACACTAGTTATTGACTCCAAAGTTCTTTCCCAACTGTTTCTTTTTTGTTGCTCTCTGAAGACTTTTTTTTTTAATCACAGTTTGGCAGAGTTACCAAATTTTTAAGTTACCACAGCAAATCCTGGGCACTCGATGTAACTTTCTTCCTCTTTGCCTCCCTTCCTTTCTTCTTTACTTTTTAATTTTAATTTAAAAACTTAGTTAAGACTCATCCTGGGGGAAGATTTTATGACCCCATCATCCTATCATTAATCACTTCAACCACACTTTAAACTGCTTTCTATCTCATTTGTAAGCACTTCTTGATCTGATAAGTAAGAAAAGTCAATGAAATTTTGATTACCATATTGTTCCTTTTCATAGAGCAATAATTAATATCCTGTAATATTTTATCTTGTTGCCCTCAAGTGCCATTAAAACAGGTTGTGTTTTTGCAACAACAGGAAAACCTATTTAATTCTATTAGCTTCCTGATTCTGGATATATAAGCTGTATGGTGCAGAAAATCAACACTTTGCTTTAGAAAGTTTCTATATATTTCTACATTTAGAAATGGGTTTAAATGGCTGTAGCCATAACCTTTAATACTGTATCATTTTAGCAATGACTTTCTTCCTTAGAGCCATGAAAATGAGTAACAGTGTATTTCTTAGAAATATGTTTTCTTATTTAAAATAGATTTTGTCCCAACTCTCAGTTTCCATTTACAACCCCCCCCAACCATAGTATGAGACAGCATACTTTTCTTTTTAACCTCCAGAAAGCCCCTAAACCTGACATTAACAGTAAATATTCAAAACAATATTCTTAAACAGTAATCTAGACTTACCTTCTGTTAATCTTAGAATAAGAGAGGGATCTAGCCCAAATTTTTCGAATGAGCCACCAGCTGTGTCAGAGTAGAAAGCTACTTGGCCCAGGTGTGAACGACTCTTCATTCGAGATGAAAATGTAGACTTCTGGTAGACTTTCATGCTGCGGTTTATAAATTTTTCCTGCCCAAGTGCAAAAGTTGAAAAGAATTTCTAATATACCAAAATAATGTTGTCTTTAAAAATAATAATCAGATATAAAACTATCATTTACAGTAAGTCTTTTTCTCATAACTGGTACATTTCTCATTACTGATACAACTTTGAGTTCTTATCTCTGAAGGAGCAGGTATAGTTTACAATTCCTTCTCTTATGAAGCTGAGCACAAATATAAAGACATTCAACATTTACTAAACATGTACATCATAAACATGAGTGTGGGAAGGGTTTTGGCTTTATCTTCATTTTCATTATTTTTTAAAGATTTTATTTATTTATTTGACAGACAGAGATCACAAGTAGGCAGAGAGGCAGGCAGAGAGAGAGGAGGAAGCAGGCTCTCTGCTGAGCAGAGATCCCAAAAACGGTGCTCGATCCCAGGACCCTGGGATCATGACCTGGGCCGAAGACAGAGCTTTAACGCACTGAGCCACCCAGGCGCCCCCATTTTCATTTTTATTTTTTAATCCTTGTCTTGCCCAACTGCAGGAACTTGGAAATTCCACTGATTTGAAAGGATTGGTTCTGTGGAATTGAATTGAAAACTTGAGAGGAAAAGGACCTCCCAAGTACACATAAATAAATCAGACTTTGAAGTTCATGGATCTTTGCTCAATTTAATTTTGGACACTTTCAATAAAACTATACAACACAAGCATAAATCCTTCACCTTACAGATGAATCTGTTATTGAGCATTTCAAGATAACTTCTTCATTCCAAATGGTTTTTTTTTTAAAAAATCCTATAATCACTCTTTATCTCTAGGAATAAGGACAGCAAACCTCTTGAAATCCAAATCATGTATTAAATGGTATAATAATATAAGTAGGGAGATTAACTGCAAAACACAGCTTTGGTAGCCTCATCTCTAATTTAGCTTCATACCAAATAATTCTAAAATGACTCCCTCCTCCACTTTTGTTCCTTCTTCCTTCCCTGCCCTCTTCCCTAATACACACATACACATTCTCTATCTGTATTTGCCTGACAAATTTTAACTTATTCTTAACAATTCAGCTCTTGCTATCTCTTCAGTGATGTCTTTGTGCACGTGTGTGCACAGAGACAACCACAGACACACATACACACCACCACCACCATCCTCTCCAACAAAGATGCTCACTCCTTTCTCTACATGTCCATGTCCTTTGCTCTATTACTGTAATGTATCAGCTCTAAGATATCATTGGATGCAGATGCACTATTATTTTATGCACTGCCTGTTGTGCATGGCATCCCACCTATATAAGTTGGATCCCAATTTCAGGAATGAGAAAATGTGGAAAAAAATATGGGCAATGGGGACGCCTGGGTGGCTCAGTTGGTTAAGCAGCTGCCTTCGGCTCAGGTCATGATCCCAGCATCCTGGGATCAAGTCCCATATCGGGCTCCTTGCTTGGCAGGGAGCCTGCTTCTCCCTCTGCCTCTGCCTGCCGCTCTGTCTGCCTGTGCTCGCTCGCCCGCTCTCTCTGACAAATAAATAAATAAATAAATAAATAAATAAATAAATAAAATCTTAAAAAAATATATGGGCAATGAAGTGGGATATACCATAATTGTCATATGTGTTGGTCAGAGTGTGTCTGTCTTCCCCCAGTAGGCAATGATCATTGGGTCCTTCCCATGGGCTGGATGCTCTTCCTGTTGTGCATGCTTATGCCCCAGCATAGCGGGCGATGCACACATCCACACCTGACCCCTTGTCTTCACCCAGCAGAGTTCATAAAAGTGAAGGATAAGAAGATAAATTTCTAACATTAATTTGGAGTAGGCTTTTAATAAAACCTTACCTTTTTCTTTGCTGCCATTTCATTTTCTTTGAAAAGAAAGAGATCTTTGAAAAAGATCCTATATGGCTTGTCCTTTTTGACTGGTTCATCTTTTCCTTTATCTGTAAAAAAAAAAAAAAAGGAAAAGAAAAACATCTGTCGTCCCTGTTCTGTTGATCAGAAGGACCAGGCTTCCACCAGCCAGGCTGGAGCAGGTGGACGGGTGGGTCTCTGAGGTGGAGGGCACAGGCAGCCCTTGCCTCTCCAACTGATCTAGAGATTCAGGGCCTGGATCTCAAGGGCAGAAGATGCAGCTCATCTGTCTGTTTCCCTTGGCACCAAGCACAGTGCTTAATACTTCAGGGGAATGAGTCTATATTTGTTGTGTAAATAGAGAAGGGGGCCTATTACAGGATAGTGGGATCTTGAGGCATTTAGATTTTGCTTCTTCTGGTCACTACAAATATATGTACTATTACCCTTACACTGCCATTTTTGCAGCAATAGACGCAGTCAGTACCCTTAGGGACATCCTCAGTCCAGACTAGAGAGTCTCCAAAAAAAAAAAAAAAAAAAAATCAAAGATAATGACAAGTATGGGCAAGGGTGTGGAGGAACTGGAATCTTAACATTCTGCTAATGGGAAGGGAAAATAGTGCAGCCGCTTTGGAAAACAGCCTCAAAAAGTTGAACATATAGTTGCTATATGACCCATCCCTTCCACTCCTAGAAATGAAAATGTATGTCCACATGAAAACTTGTATATGAATATTTATAGCAGTATTATACAGAATAGTCAAAAGATAGAAACAACCCAAATATCTATCAACCGATGAACGGGTAAACAAAATGTGGTGTATCCATACAATGGACTATTAGTCAGCTGTAAGAAGGATACATACTCTAAGACTGATGAAACTTGGAAATATTATATTAAGTAAAAGGAGCCACATGAAGTCCCTACATTATAAGATTCCATTATATACCATGAAATGTCAAGAATAGGCACAACCATGGAGCCAAAATGTAGATTAGCGGTTGCTGAGGGCTAGATGGGAGTTAGGGGCTAAGGGGCACAGGGTTTCTTTCTGAGATGATAAAAATGTTCTAAAATGGACTGTGGTGATGGTGGCACATATCTGTGAGTACAAAGCATGGACTTAAATACTTAATAAAAAAAGAAGCCTGGCCATAAGGGGGCTCGTGAAGAAAAGGGAGAGGAAGGGAGGGAGAGAGAAGTCAACTGAATTTCTGAATGAACTTTTTGTTTTTATTCATAAAATCTGATGGGGAACCTGGGTGGTTCAGTGGGTTAAGGCCTCTGCCTTCAGCTTGGGTCATGATCCCAGGGTCCTGGGATCGAGCCCCGAATTGGGCTCTCTGCTCAGTGGGGAGCCTGCTTCCCTCTCTCTCTCTGCCTCTCTGCCTACTTGTGATCTGTCAAATAAATAAATAAAATCTTTAAAAAAAAAATCTGAAATGATAAAAGGTTTTTCTCTTTTTCTTTCTTTCTGGCTTTTTAATGCTTGGGGGTGGAAATTTTAGCTTCAGATCCAAGAGCCAAAAGCAGGAATTCTGGAGCTTAGAACTGACACCTTAAGTCAGAGAAGGGGAGGGGACAACTGAAAACACATCCCCCTTCCTGCCCCAGCCCCTGCACCACTTTCACCTCCCAAAATACCAGAGCATCTTGAAAGTACCCCTCCTCTCTAAGTGGCTGAAAGAGACAATAGGGCCAGGAGTTATTGGTCTGGAGCTTAAAGGCTGCCTGAGAATGAGCTGTTTGCCAGGGATTCAGTTGGGAAAGTGGGAATGCCTGGGATAGAAACCTCAGGCACGTTTTTCTGTGGGTAATGGGTTAGGAAGAAAGAAAATTGCAGAGGTGGGAGCTTTGAGCTTCTGATTCACCTTGTCGGTAAAGGAGGGATCCCCTGCCCCAAATAGTATGAGATGATTGAACATATGACACTCCACACTGGACTGATGAGATAGATAGAGGTTTATTAGTCACTTACACTCACAGCTCAGGGAGGAGGACACCACCTGCTATATAGGGCCACATCAAAGAGGTCAAGACAATACATGAAATTAGGCCTTATAATACATGAGCAGACAGGTGGGAGGGGTCCAGGCAGCTGGGCTTGGAGACAGCAAGAGTATGGAAGGGCATAGCCAACAGACTGAGGCCCAGGAGGCAACAGAAGTCAAGGACCCAAAGGTTCTTGGGCTTGAGTGGCATTGCCAGAGTTCATGACCTATACCCTGTATTCTCAGGCCAGAGCTAGGCCTGACATCCCAGGAAGGGACCGCTGATGTCCTCCAAAGGGCGAACCATTGGTAGGCTGGACATCTGTCTCAACCAACCCTCTCTCCTCCCAAGAAAAACCTCACAAACTTACTGTCCACCCCATCCTAGGTGACTTAACGCCTTGAATGCCTGAGTTTAAATTCTGTCCAACCAGGTTTCAGTGTCCTGGATTGCAAAATATTTTTTTCCCCTCCAACTCCAAACCCAAGTTCCTTTTGGTATAAAGAAATAGCAAAAACGTAAAACTCTAAACACCAAGTATATTAGTTTCCTACGGCTGCCATAATAAATGGCCACAAACTTGGCAGCTTAAGACAAGAGAATTTCTCTCACAGTCCTGGAGCTCAGGCGTCCCTCATCAAAGTGTCAGCAGGACTACGCTCCCTCCAAAGGCTCTGTGGGAGACTCCTTCCTCATCTCTTCCAGCTTCTGGTGGCTTCAGGCATGCATTGGCCTTTTAACTCCAATGTTTGCCTCCGTGTTCACAGGGACTTCTTTTTCTCACAAAGACACTTGTCATTTAGGATTTAGGACCCACCTTAAGTCCAGGATGATCTCATCTTGAGATCCTTACCTCAATTACATTTGAAAGACCCTTTTGCCAAATAAGGTCACATCGCCGGGGTAAAGACACGGAGAGCTACTATTTTGGAGGGACCACTTTCAACCCACTCTAACAAGTTTCCTGAATTATAAACTCACTCTAAGCACTGGCCCTTAGCCAGTCCTTCTCTCCACCTGAATGACTTCCCAGTCACGTGGAACTGGGGCCGCCACAACAAATTACTGCAAACAGAGCGGCTTAAAACAGCAGGCACGGATTCTCTCCCAGTCCTGAAGGCCAGAGGTCTAAGAAGAAGGTGTGGGGTTGGTTCCTTCCGGAGTCTCTGAGGAAGAATCTATGGCGTGACTTTCCCTGAGCCCCATAGAAAGTGCCTATGGAACGCCTGTCCCCTGTAACACACTCTTGGTTTTATCCAATGTTCAAAGCTTTGTCAAACCTGTCAGTGACAAAGAAGCCATTCTTCTATACCGATAAATATGAATTCCTTGTATACTTTTAAAGAAGCAGGAGGAGGAGAGAAAGGCTGGAAAAGGAAAGGAGAGGACAGATTTTGATAAAATGTGGTTATTCATGTCCTTTATTATGACAAATAATTGAGTTAATTGTTTTATGTCATGAAATTCCCTAGCAACCTAGCTAAATATGACCATTTAATGCCTCTCCGATGTGAAGATTTTTTCTTGGCAGAATTAAAATTGGAAGAGAAATTTCTCTTCTCAGTAGGCCATTTATAAACTCCTGACATAGAAAGACCATGTGTGATGCTTGTCGTGTGCCGTTCTCCTTTTGCTACGTTCCCAATCCACCATGGAGACTGACCATACCAGGCACAAAGCAAGAACTCATTGACAGATTTCCTCTTTACCTTCAGGAGCCCGTGATACCGGCAAAAAAGTTGATGACATTTTGTCTCCTGGCCCTGTCCAAAGAAAAGGAAATGCATTAAAAATAAATTCTGTAAAACTGAGAATCAGGTGATGTACGCAATTGTCGAGTCACTAAATTGTACACCTGAAACTAATATAACACTTCATGCTAACTAACTGGAATTGAAATAAAAACCTAAAAAAAAAAAATAAATTCTGTAAACCTTGCGGAAAGGGGCTGAGTTCAACAACCAGTGATTCCAAATAGCCTTCATTGCTTTTAAAAGCACAGACTCTTTGGTCCAGCAATTCCAAGTCTGGGAATGTACCCCAAGAAGATAATTGGGTAAGTGGGCAAAGTGAGTAAGTACAATAATGTTTGTTGGCATGTTATTTAATAAACAGGGAGTTGATTAAATAACTCTGGGATACCCATAACACGGATTGTCCTATGGTCCCTCAAAAACAATGCTCTGGTCACTAGTCCCTCTGTTAACTATCTATCAAAAGTGAAAAACAAGGGGCGCCTGGGTGGCTCAGTGGGTTAAGCCTCTGCCTTTGGCTCAGGTTATGATCCCAGGGTCCTGGGATGGAGCCCCGCATCAGGCTCTCTGCTCTGCGGGGAGCCTGCTTCCCCTTCTCTCTCTGCCTGCCTCTATGCCTACTTGTGATCTCTCTCTGTCAAATAAATAAATAAAATCTTTAAAAAAAATGTGAAAAACAAAATATTTCCAAAGGGCGGGAGTGATGCGGATAAAAGAACACCTGCCAAATCAGATGTTTGAAAAATAGTTCTCCGAACGTCAGTTGGGGGGGGTGTGGTCTTCAATTTGGAGCAACTCCTCCTCATATTCTATCGGCTTTGGGATTAGGGTTAGGTATCAAATTTAAGGAAGTGACCCCCAAAACTTAGTTATCAAAATAAATAACATGTTAATGCAATTTTTTAAGAATTCCAGGGGGAAAAGTCCATGGTGAACAAAATATTAGGATTTTAATACAGATGGGATCTGACTGTGCGCCCCATGACCCCAAGAGTGAGCACCTCCCTTGCCACACCTTCGTTCCGACCCACGGATCTCATCTTTATGTACATTTTTGATATTTTGTTCATCGTGGAATTTTTGCATTCATTTTTATTTTTAAAAATAATGAAATAAAATGTTGTTTGTGTTTGCCCTCCCCTTAGGTTTTGCACCAAAGGTAAACGTTTCCCTTGCTTCACCCTAATCCTTGTCTTGACTTTTTACACTTTTTAATATTATTATTTCTCAATGAGCTTGTGTAATGTTTACAATGAAAAAAGTAATAATGATTCTTTCACAGGGGAGGAAAAAAGGATATTCAGGAGTTTATATAAAAAGGTGTGTCCACACAAGAACAATGGGACAAACATCCCGTTTCAAGCTGTCCATTTAAATTTATGCCTCAGGGGGGAGGGGGGTTGGGGGGGGGTTATGGACATTGGGGAGGGTATGTGCTATGGTGAGTGCTGTGAGTTGTGTAAACCTGGCGATTCACAGACCTGTACCCCTGGGGATAAAAATATATTAGATGTTTATAAAAAATTTAAAAAATAAATAAATAAAATAAAAACTTAATAAATTAAAAAAAAAATTTATGCCTCAGGTCTCTCAAAGAGCCATTTTGAAGAGACTCCCGGAGGCATTTCTAGCAGATGATTAAAGATGCCCACTATGGAATGGAAAAGCCAGCTTGATATTTACAGATGGTTTAATATTTACAGATTTGATATTTACAGATGGGTATTTACAGATAGTGAGCAAGATCATTTAACATTCAAAAAATATTTATTGAGTACCTCCTATGTGCTAGACACTGTTCTGGGTGCCCCAAACAGGGCAATTTAAAAATGACAGCAACAACAGCAAAAGACAGAAAAACATACTTTCTTCGTGGGGCCTACGTTTCAATTACTCAGCAGCTCTGAGCCTCAGTTCCTAATCCATCAAGTGGGAATATAATTTCCCCTCTTCAAGCTTTCATGAGGTTTCAATGACATCATGTGTATAAACCGGCAGGCAGGGCGCTCGGCCCACACAGCAAACTCAGTAAGTGGGAGCAATTTTGTGTTAATATTTACCAAGGAGAATGTGATTTTCCTTCCAGTGATTATAAAAACGAAAATGGAAAAGAGGAAAGAAATTATGCTAAAGCTTATAAAGGAGAAAAGATTAACAGAAAGCCTAGGTCATTAATGTTATACTTTTTCAGATTACTGAAGATTTTTTTCCGCAGGCATTGGGTTCATTCTGACAGTGGAAAAGAAGGGTCGGTGAAAAATTGACGACAGTCTGCTGGGTTGATGTATTTGGAATTTGGGTGGCCAATAGTAAAGATTTGTAGGTTTTTGTGTATTTATGTGCTCTGCACTCATCCAAATCCCTAAGATTCTGCTCAGTTATTTGACATACATTTCCTCTTTCAATTCTCCTATCTATTTAAATTCATTCCCCTATCCAGCTCCACTTTCGTTCACTTTGTCTTAAGTCTACCTGGAACAAAAATCTTCATCCCTGGGTTCTGGCACTTTTTCCCTCCTAGAAAAACCAGAGGTTGTCGTTCCTCGAAGCCAACTGCTAATAGCAGGTATCTGCTCTGACTCCATCTTTCCAGTAATTCATAAAACATGTGAATGGAACCAGCAGTCTCTAGAAGTTGTTATACATAAATATGTACTTCATCTCCCTATTGATGAATGAAGGGTTGGTGAAGAACCCAGGGGAGAAGAAGAGAGGCAGCTATTTCTAGAAGGGACTGTAAAGGTCTCTGAACTAAACCAATATAATGGGCCAACCAGGAAAAGAAAGTCAAAGCCAGTGAATGTCTTAGTTGTGCAAAATCAAAGTAGCGTGACTACACAAAGACTCTGTACTAAAACAGGGGGGAAATGTCATTGGATTGCATAGCAAATGCCTGCCAATTCACACCAAAAATATATGTTAAAAATATGAAACGTATGTTCAAATCCAACTTCTGGCAGATGAAAAAGACGAGGGGCTCAGAAAAATGAGGGCCTTAAAATGGTGATGTGTGACTTCAGGCCGTCATTTTCAGAGGTGGCAGAGGCCATTTGTGAAAAGCAAGGACTGTCATTATGTTCCTTAATCCCCATGCCTCAGTTTCCCCGTCTTTCAAAAGGGCGGGTAAGAATGGCGCCTACCTCAGGAGATGGTTAGGCGAGTTAACATGTGTCCCCCCACACTTTGGACAGCATCAGGGGCTCAGTGAGCACCACAGCCGTGTAAGCCCATGGGGAAAGCATTCTAGAGAGGAGGATGCCTGGTGTGTACGAGGAACAGCAAGGAGATCTGTGGAACTTCAGCGAGGTGAACAAAGCGCAGAGTGACAGATGAGATCGGAGAGATCATGAGGGCCCTGTGGGCCATTTTCTCGTTTGCCATTCCTCATTTCCAAGTGAGAATCTGGAATGAGCCACTCTGCCTGGGAGCTGCGAAGAGACTGTACAAGGGGGTGAGGGTGGAATGAGGCCCCCTGCTGGGAGGCTACCGTCAGTGGGAGCAAGAGACCGTGGAAGTGGTGAGAGGTGGTCAGATTCCAGATACATTTGGAAAGGACTGGCTGATGGTCTGGGCGTGGGGTAGGAGATAAAGAGCCCGGGAAAGAAAGGATGGAGTTGCAATGGATGGCGACAGAGCGGCTGTGGGAAAAGGGACAACTGGGAACATCAAAGGTTCAGTTGGGAATATGTGACATTTCAGATACATTAGACATCCAAGGGGATGTGGGTGTAAAATACACTGTTCTCCAAAGTGAACACCCATACCGGTTGATTTAATGAATGCTAGCATTCCTCTAACATTATGCAATTCAGATGAATTGCATTATGCCGAGTCAGATGTTTGATGTATATCATCACAGGGGGAGCGTGGATGACACTATGGAAAGACCATGGCCTTGACGGCAGGCAGGTTTGAATCCTGCCTCTTGCTCTTACCAGCTCTTTCTCTTAGGCCTATCTGAGGAAACTCCGTGCATCTTAGGTTCTTCTATCCAGTACGGATGTTCTCAACCACAGGTAATGCATGCAATTTGCCTACTCACGGTAGGCTGATAGGGAAATAATTGCCTATAATTTCCTAAAGTAGATAATCCAGATCTGTCTTCTCTCTAGTCCGCTCTGTCTTGCAAATAACTACCAGCATTGAAAAGGAGGGATAACTGACAACCAACTTTTTTAAGAAACCCTGAACTCAAATTCTCAAAACTGATTCATTTGCGAGGAATCTCAAGCCATATCAGTGCAAGTGCGGGGAACCTGACCCACCTTCGCGCACATTCTTAACATTCCAAGCGTCGTGGAAGTAGAAAAAGAGGAGTGGGGTTTTACAATGCTCAACCCCAAAGTCCAAGACCAGCTCCGAATACAATGAACGATAACAGTATCTACCCGATATTATCCGAAGCAGTTTCTGTTTGATTTTCTCAACAACTCTCTCAACTCAGGGAAAATGGATTTCCAGTCTCTCAGTAGGACATAAAAAGCTTTGTTGATCTCCCATATACAAACAAAGATTAGACAGATTCAGACCAAAAGCCTTGAGGTTTTTGCCCACCTCTTTTCCACCCACTTGGACAAATACTAGGAGAAAAGGCTGTAAACTGTGTCCTTGGATGGTGTGGAGAGACCAGACTTAGCAATTTTTTGTTTACCTGAGAGCCAGGAGCCAGTAGGTCCTTGGCCTGTTCAATGACCTGCCTCTTTCGATTAGGTCAGAAGCAGAGCACAGTGATGAGGAAATTACCTTCAGCTTGACCTTTAAGGCCCTGCTGGCGTATTCTGTGTAGACTTTCCTGTTGACATTTCTGACTGCCCCTTTCGCAAACTGAAAAAACAAAAAACAAAACAAAACAAAAGGCCCCCTGGGGGTTGTAAAAAGTACTGTGTGAACAAAGAAGTGCTATAGGGATGTTGGTAATCACTGAGGAAATTATCTATAATTATGTATTTAAAAATGACCGAGGAGGAGAGAAGCCCACCCTTGTCCTTGCTTGTG